AACTCCACCAATGATGGAATTGAACCAAACTTGGCACCCAGAACTCCCATGACCAACAGAAAATACTGGAAGTGTTTGGTGAGCTCAGAGACCCTGAGTTTTGGAGTTGTAGTTCACCTACATCCAGAGAGTACTGTGAACTCAAACAATGATGGATCTGGACCAAACTTGGCACAAATACTCAATATGCCCAAATGTGAACACTGGTGGAATTTGGGGAAAATAGACCTTGACATTTGGGAGTTGTAGTTGCTGGGATTTGTAGTTCACCTACAATCAAAGAAAATTCTGGCCACCCTGAGTTCCCTTATGGGTAGAAGGGCATGAATACTCAATATGTCCAAATGTGAACACTGGTGCAGTTTGGGGAAAATAGACCTTGACATTTGGGAGTTGTAGTTGCTGGGATTTATAGTTCACCTGCAATGAAAGCACATTCTGAACTCCACCAATGATGGAATTGAACCAAACTTGGCACCCAGAACTCCCATGACCAACAGAAAATACTGGAAGGGTTTGACCTTGAGTTTTGGAGTTGTAGTTCACCAACATCCAGAGAGCACTGTGGACTCAAACAATGATGGATCTGGACCAAACTTGGCACAAATACTCAATATGCCCAAATTTGAACACTGGTGGAGTTTGGTGAAAATAGACCTTGACATTTGGGAGTTGTAGTTGCTGGGATTTATAGTTCACTTACAATCAGAGCCACAGTAGTACACGCTCTGGTTACACCCATATAGACTACTGCAACGCTCTTTACGTGGGGTTGCCTTTGAAGACTGTTTGGAAGCTTCAAATGGTCCAATGGGCGGCAGCGAGGTTGCTTTACAGGAGCGGCACTCAGGGAGCATACAACTCCTCTGTTGCGCCAGCTTCACTGGTTCGCAATCTGCTACCGAGCAGAATTCAAAGTGCTGGCTTTAGCCTCTAAAGCCCTAAATCAGTGGTTCCCAACCTGGGGTCCCCAGATGTTTTTGGCCTTCAACTCCCAGAAATCCTAACAGCTGATAAGGGTAGGTAAAGGTTGTCCCCTGACATTAAGTCCAGTCATGTCTGACTCTGGGGTGTGGTGCTCATCTCCATTTCTAAGCCGAAGAGCCAGCGTTGTCCATAGACACCTCCAAGGTCATGTGGCCAGCATGACCGCATGGAGCGCCGTTAAAACTGATAAACTGGCTGGGATTTCTGGGAGTTGTAGGCCCCAGGTTGAGAACCACTGCCCTAAATGGTGGTGTAGAAATATAGTAAATAAATAAATACATTCTGAACCCCACAAAATGATATAAATGGGCCAAACTTCCTACACAGAACCCCCATGACCAAAAGAAAATACTGTGTTTTATGATGGACTTTGGCAACCCCTCTGACACCCCCTCACGACCCCCTCAGGGTTGAGAAACACGGACCCAGGAGAAAACAGCCTTGGTGTTTTGCAAGTTTTTTTTTTTTTATTAAGATACATCTTTTCCTCGGTTTCAGTGGTAGCAAAACAAAATCAAGTGAAGTTGCAGAAACGATGATGAGCTCTATGGGGCGGGAGGGAGGGAAGGAAGTGCTCCATTTGGGGGGCTGGGGAAAAGCCAGGGGAGGGGGCTCTTCCCAGGAGAATGGCTTGAGGAGGAGGAGGAGGAGGGTGTTTGCAGGGAAGGAGAGGCGAAGGAGCTTCCAGACACAAAGGTAGGCTGCATTTTGGTATCAAAAAGAAAACCCATTGGGTCAAAAACGAGAGGGAGAAAGGGGAAAGGAGGTCTGAGGTCGCATGGCTCTTCTAGGAAGACTTGCCGCACTCTTTCTCCTGCTCGATGGCTGGAAAGAAAGGGGAAAGAAGGGGTTTTAGCCATGGCGGCTGGGTGGGGTGGGGGAAGGTGTATGCCATGCCCCACCCCTCCCTGTCTGAATGGGACCCTCTGGGTACTCACTCTCCTTGGAGGGCAGCGTGTTCTTCTCCTCCGTGTTGGTCTTCTTCAGCTTCTTCTTGTCGAACTTCTCCACCTCGGAGAGGTCGGGTTTGTCGCACATCCTGCTGTCCACACCTGCGAAGGGGAGAGCCACACAAAGGGCGTTCTGTGGGGGGCTGCAAAGGGGAAAGGAAGAGGGAGGGGCGCCGCCCCCCTGGCCCCAGCCACACCTACCTGTCTCTTTGCCTCTCTTCCCAAGTTCCTTCCTTCCTCAGCTGCGCCTTCTCTGCTTTCCCCGCCGCACAAGGAGGCCCTTTATAAGCGCGGGCGGTGGGCGCGGGGCACGACGGGAATTGTAGTTCCCTAGCCCCCTCCCTTCCTCCCCCCTCCCTTCGGCTGCAGGAGGAAGCTGCCCCGCCTCTCTCCTCTCTTTGGAGGAACTTTATAATTCCTTCTGCCTTAAGAAAGCTTGGAATATCCTTAAAGATCCTTCTCACGCTCGATATTCTCTCTCTCTCTCCTCTCTCCCTCCCCCCTCCCCCTCTCTCCCTCCCCCTCCCTCTCTCCCCCCTCTCTCTCCCCTCTCCCCTCTCTTCTCCCCCCTCCCCCTCCCTCTCTCCTCCCTCCTCTCTCTCTCTCCCTCCCTCTCCCCCTCTCCTCCCTCTCTCTCCTCCTCTCCCCCTCCCTCTCCCCTCCCTCTCTCCCCCTCCTCCCTCTCCCCCTCCCTCCTCTCCCTCCCGCCCTCCCTCCCTCTCCCTCCCTCTCTCTCCTCTCCCTCCCTCTCTCTCCCCCTCTCCCCCTCTCCTCCCTCCCCTCTCCCCCTCTCCCCCTCCCTCTCCTCCCCCCTCTCTCTCCCTCCCTCTCCCCCCTCTCCCTCCTCTCCCTCCCTCTCCCTCCCTCTCCCCTCTCTCTCCCCCCCCCTCTCCCCCTCTCCCTCCCTCCCCTTCTCTCTCCCTCCCGCCCTCCCTCTCTCTCTCTTTCTTCTGAATGATTACCACCTGGCAGACTATATTGCAGACTTGGGCTAACTCCAGGATTTTTGGACTCCAACTCCCACAATTCCTAACAGCCTCAGACCCCTTCTGTAATCGGAGATGACCTTCCCCCCAGGGCTCTGTAAAAGATATATATTTGAGAACACAGAAGTGCTGGACCACTCTCACAACCACCATGTCAGACTACACAGAGAAGCCATTGAAATCCACAAGAATGTGGACAATTTCAACAGAAAGGAGGAAACCATGAAAATGAACAAAATCTGGCTACCAGTATTAAAAACTCTAAAATTACAACAGCAAAACAGCAGAGAGGAAACAACCAGGCACATCTTAACACCTCTCAACAAAAGATCCCAGGCTCAGGCAAGCCTTCAAATGCTAATGAAGGTGGTCAGTTGAAACATTCACACCTAGCTCCAGCAGAGAAGAGCTCTTTGCCCCACCCCAGCCATTCCACAGATATATAAACCCATTTTCTAATTCCAACAGACCTCACTACCTCTGAGGATGCTTGCCATAGATGCAGGCGAAACGTCAGGAGAAATGCCTCTAGAACATGGCCCTATAGCCCGAAAAAACCCACAAGAACCTAGTAAATCCCAACAAATACAACTCCCAAATGTCAAGGTCTACTTTCCCCAAACTCCACCAATGTTCACATTTGGGCATATTGAGTATATGTGTCAAGTTTTATCCAGAGCCATCATTGCTTTGAGTCCACAGTGCTCTCTGGATGTAGGTGAACTACAATTCCAAAACTTAAGGTCAATGCCCATCCAACCCTTCCAGGATTTTCTGTTGGTCGTGGGAGCTCTGTGTGCCAAGTTTGTTTCAATTCCATTGTTGGTGGAGTTCAGAATGCTCTTTGATTGTAGGTGAACTATAAATCCCCGCAAATACAACTTCCAAATGACAAAATCAGTCTCCTCCCAAATCCACCAGTATTCCAATTTTGGTGCATCCTTGGGGCAAGTGGCTGGTCTTTGAAGCACGAGAGGCCTTGGAGCCAATCCAGTTTTGTTGGGAAACTAACAATCTTGCATGCACATTGAAATGGTTCTCTTGTCTCCATGTTTCTGTGTTACCTCCCTTCCTTTCCTGTCAGTTTTATGATACCCCCAATTAACATTCCATGGGTTTTGGAACATCTTCTAGAAAAGTGGTCATGCAGCCGGTCACGTAAGCAGTCCTTTGAAGTCAAAAAGTTTTAAAAGAGAGCTGCTTTCCTTTTGTTCCCCAGTGTACTAGTTATTTGGGTTTTACTCTTCAACAGAGTGACCGTCATCCCTTTCCAGAATATAGATTCCATGTTAGGCCTATGCGCAAGCTAGAGAAATCTATCCTTTCACTCTCTACCTTTGGATTATACCGTTTTGATGATCTTCTAAGAAGTTGACCTGTACCTGAGTGATCCCTTTTGCACAAGTTTTTGTGAGTAAACTGTTTTAATTACACCAACCAGTTGATGTGGAATTATCTTCTGTTTTCTGGTGTACTGAATGTGTATTCCTTTGCATGCTTTTAAGGGGGGGGGGGGGGCTGTGATCAATAGTAAGCTTTTAACTCTGCCTGTCTCTCTTTTAAAAAGCAAGCTGTCCTAAACCTTGGTCGTCTGTTGTGTTTTGCTCTACCAATGCTATGCTTTAAAACAGTGTTCCTCAACCTTCCTAATGCCGTGACCACTTAATACAGTTCCTCATGTTGTGGTAACCCCCAACCATAAAATTATTTCCGTTGCTACTATTTCCGTTGCTAACTATAATTTAACCACTGTTACGAATCGTAATGTAAATATCTGATATGCAGGATGTATTTTCATTCACTTGACCAAATTTGGCACAAATACCCGATACACCCAAATTTGAATACTGATGTGGTTGGGAGGCGTTGATTTTGTCATTTGGGAGTTGTATGAACTACAACTCCCAAATGTCAAGGTCTATTTTCCCCAAACGCCATCGCTGTTCACATTTGGGCATATTGAGTATTCATGCCAAGTTTGGTCCAGATCCATCATTGTTTGAGTCCACAGTGCTCTCTGGATGTAGGTGAACTACAACTCCAAAACTCAAGGTCCATGCTCACCAAACCCTTCCAGTATTTTCTGTTGGTCATGGGAGTTCTGGGTGCCAAGTTTGGTTCAATTCCATCATTGGTGGAGTTCAAAATGCTCTTTGATTGCATGTTAACTATAAATCCCAACAACTACAACTCCCAAATGTCAAAGTCTATTTCCCCCAAACTCCACCAGTTTTCACATTTGGGCATATTGAGTATTTGTGCCAGGTTTGGTCCAGATCCATTATTGTTTGAGTCCACAGTGCCCTCTGGATGTCGGTGAACTACAACTCCAAAACTTAAGGTCAATGCTTACCAAATCCTTCCAGTATTTTCTGTTGGTCATGGGAGTTCTGTTTGCCAAATTTGGTTCAATCCAATCATTGGTGGAGTTTAGAATGCTCTTTGATTGTACATGAACTATAAATCCCAGCAACTACAACTCCCAAATGAGAAAATCAACCCTCCTCCCAACCCCACCAGTATTCAAATTTCGGCGTATTGGGAATGTGTGCCAAATTTTGGTCCAGTGAAAGAAGATGCATCTTGCATATCAGATTCATAACAGTTGCAAAATGACAGCTATGAAGTAGCAACAGAAATAATTGTATAGTTGGGGGTCACCACAACATGAAGAACTGCATTAAGAGGTCGCGGCATTAGGAAGGTTGAGAAACACTGGCCTAGAGAGAAGCAAAATGTGCATCCTTTCATTTAGAAAGAAACTGAAGTTGTGATTCTGGGAACAAGCTTTTGGGACAACAGACATAGATAGCACTTTGGACATGGAATTGGATATGGAATTGACTGGAACGGTGATACAGCTATTAATACTGTTTTTTACTGTTTTAATGAATGTTTTATTTATTTATATTGCGCTGTTATATGTAATGACATTTAATTGCTGCCAAATGGAAGCCGTCCTGAGTCCCCCTTCGGGGGTTGAGAAGGAATGGGATAGGAATACCGGAAATAAATAAATAATAAATAGAAAGAAAATCAGAAGAGACTGGAAAAATACCTTTAAAAAAGAAGGAAGTTCCCCCACAGAATTCCATTCCTGCATCATCAAAGGAGAGGAAACAGTGGCAAGGAGGAAGAGTGAAGACAAAGCCCTTTTGGAAAACATGCATAGGAGGAATATGTGGGAGGCGGGGAGGAATCCCTTAGCCTAATCCTATCTCTAGTCTAGCTACTCATTGAGGACTGGAAACTTGATGACACAAAAGACTTGTGCAGTCCAGGGATGAAACCCAATATCAACCCAGGAGATGGCATCTTTGGGCCCTGCCTTTGAATTTATTTATTTATTTATCTACAGTATTTATATTCTGCCCTTCTCACCCCGCAGGGGACTCAGGGCGGATTACAATGTACATATAGGATTGGATGAAGATTGGAATGAGAGGATATAGCTCTTTTTAAATTATCTAAATGCACTTAATTGTTTTTGCTTTTTGAACGTATGTATTGATGGCATCGAATTATGCCGATATGTAGACCTCCCTGAGTCGTCTGCGGGCTGATATGGGCGGGATATAAATAATGTAAATAAATAAATAATAAATAAATACATATACATGGCGAACATTCAATGCCATAGACACACAACACATATACACAGACAGTCAGAGGCTATTTAACATTCCAACTTTTTCTGGCCACCAGGGGAGCTGTCACTTCACCGTCCATCTGTGACACTGATGAAGCACTTCCTCATTCCTCGCATGCTTGGTGGAGATTTTTTTATGGCCTCATAAATTAGTTAAATTAGCCTCCCCACATAAGTGGTACCTAATTTACCTACTTGACAGATGCAACTGTCTTCCGGGTTGCTAAAGGTCGACAACAAGCTACACAGATTGGCCGGAAGCTCACTCCGACCCGGCCTGGCTTCAAACTCATGACCTTTCAGTCAGTAGTGATCTTAATGCAGCCGACTCCCAGTGCTGGCACGCAGGGGCACACAGGGGATGGGGTTTCTTGACTCTTCACCTGTTGGACAGAAACATGGCACAGGAACTGGTAGTGATTTGTGGTGGATCTCAAGACAAAGCTGGTTGGTCTTTAAGGTGTTGTGCACCCCATGGCAGTCTGCACCAAAGAGGTTCCAGAATACACCATTTTTTCCTCAGAGGCCAATGGGATCTCAGGCTTGAGGATGGTGCCAGACACCTCCTTGTCAGAAACCAAGCCAGGATTGAGAAGCCCACTGCAACCAGGACAGAATATTTTGGGCAGTTGGCAAATGGGTGTTAGAGGGGCAGATCTTAGCTCTGTGCAGTGATTAAGCAACTCTTGTTCCCTGGAAAAAACCTGTCTGAACCTATGAAAGAATGTGCTGCTGAAGTTTGTCAGTGTATTTGCACGTTTTTTGCTTTTTCCTTGAACTCTATGGCAGCTGTGCCAGTGGGCGGGGCCAAATAATTTTCAAAGGTGGGGTGGCTCTGCCTATGCTTTTGTTACTTCCAACAAGCCCCACCCACCTACTCTTGCATCTGCATTGAGAGCCACCTGGAGGTGGGAAATGAGACTTCTCGAGCCAAGTGGAATTCAAGTTTTTAATTCTGAAAATCCATTTTTATAAATCATAACTTGCATAGAAGAGCAACATAATTCACCCGAGAGCAATACCTAGTCTTATATGAATTCATTAAGTCGTGCTATTAAGTCATAAAAGGCAATTCGTCACAAATGAGAGAGGACTATTGTGTACAATTTGCATAAACCAGTAAGTGGCCCTGAGTTTGAGTTGGTTTCTGGTCAGAAAATGTTGACAGATATAAACAGATGTAAACATTTCCCTTATCAATGTCACAGTTCTTATCAATATCAGCAGTTTACCATTTCAGTTTTCATTAGCAGGTTTTAATTACAGTCTTGCAAGCAGGAAGTAAATGGGTTGTTGCAAGTTTTCCAGGCTGTATGGCCATGTTCAAGAAGCATTCTCTCCTGATGTTTTGCCTGCATCTATGGCAGGCATCCCCAGAGGTTGTGAGGTCACAACCTCTGTGGATGCCTGCCATAGATGTGGGTGAAACACCAGGAGAAAATGCTTCTGGAACATGGTCAAACAGCCTGGAAAATTCACAGCCACGCAGTGTTTCTGGCCATGAAAGCATTCAACAATACATTGAACCTGAGTTTATCACAAGAGTCAAAGGCAAAGGAGAAAGGAGATTATTTCCATGAGCAGTCCAATTATATTATCCCAAGCAAAACCTTAACCTCTCTTTAGTGGAAAGAGATGCCCCGTTGTACATTCAGAGCTATTGCTGAAGTCAAGCAACCTCCAGAAGACCATCACCAGTTTAGGGTCTATTTCAGGCACTTGGCAGATTTTGACCCTCCAGATGTTTTGACCTTCAACTCCCAGAAATCCCAGCCAGCTTACCAGCTGTTTGGAATTATTGTGGGAGTTGAAGTCCAAAACATCTGGAGGGTTGAAGTTTGCTCATGCCTGGACTCTATTTGGATCTATTTTCACAAGGAAAGCCAGCCCCTATTCTTTAGCCGTCGCCAATCATTCAAAGTCTTGTTCTCATCTCCCCTCAAAAGATTGCAAAAGGGAGCACATTGCCGTCTGCTCCTTTGCAGCCATGTCCCTCCTTTTGGTGGTGTTGCATTCAGTGGGAAGAAGATGCTCCCTCATATCCAGAGTGTCCTAAGGAGAGAAGCCCCAGGTCCTTTATGCTTTGAGGGGAAAGGAAAGTTTGGATACCCTTCGTCCAAAAGCACTCTAGAGCCTTCCTCGCAGGACCGCTATGTGATGTCCTGCAGGAAGTCGTGCATGGCGGTGGTGAGGCCCCAGCTGAGGCCCGAGCGCAATACCAGGAGGGGCGCCCCCCGGTAGAGGAGGGCCGCTCTCCCACCTCGTGCCCCCCAGATGGCATCCAGTGTGCCCCGCATCCCCAAGGCCTCCCCACTGCCCACTTGGGCCTGGACATTGGCAATGAGAACACCCAACGGGTAGAGCAGGAGGCCGATGACTGTGCCAGTGATGCATCCGGAGAGGAGTGCGGGCAGTTGGGCAGGGAGGCCTTTCTCACGGAGCTGGTCACGCAGCGGATCCTTAGCGGAGAAGTACAAAGCGCTGCCAAGGCCATTACGGAGCAGGATGAGGCCCAGGCCTCGATAGTAGCCCAGTGCCAACCTCTCCCGCAGGCCTTCATAGGAGCGGAACTCCTCCAGGATGCTCCTGGCGGTGGGGAAGCGGTGGGCCTTCTGCCCATCCTGCAGCACGTTCTGGACCCTCTCGAAGGGACCCAGGACTAGGCCCTCTGAAAAGCCTGAGAGTAGCCCTGCTGTGGCTTGCTGCCCCAAAGAGTGACCCCCTGAGGGGCAACTGGGGAAGAGGAAGTGGAGGAAGGCCTCGTAGGAGCCAAATAGGAGGGTGCCTTGTAGGGTCTTGGCCAAAAGCGGTGGGAGGAGCCCGCGGCAGAATTGGCGCAAGCCCTCCTGGTGCAGTTGGCGCCCAGCTTCACTGATTGAGGCAGCGTGCAACTGCTGGCGGAACATGGTCTTGTGCAGTGGGAAGGTGGCTAGCGTGGAGAAAAAGTTGGCAGCCGCACCCAGCCGGAAACTCCGCCCAGGGTCCCAGCCTCTTTTGCGCTGCTGCTCTTCTGCCTCCTCTGCCGCCATTACCTTTGGGTTCCTGGAAGGGCCCTCCTGCCCCGGAAGGCCTTTGCTTCTTTCTGGTCACAGGAGAAGAAACAGAGGCTGAGGTGGTGGAGTATTATGGCTGGCAGGCGGGGGGGGGGGGGGGGAATCTTAGCATTGAAGTCCAAGAAAGAATTCACTATGTAACACAATTTCTATTTCTGGGTAAAAATGCCATTTCTGTGAGAAATATTAAAAATAAACTAGGTATTTTTGTTTACAAAAATGTGAGTCTAGCACTGAAAGGGTTAAATGGATGCAGAGACTCAGAGAAGCTGCAGTTCAATATAAACAGGCACAGATGTGCCTGTTGCTTAATAATGCCTCAGTCTGAGAGAAGCCTGTGTGAGGGAACACCTCAGTGGGAGAATAGACCTTAGAGTTAGTAGGCCTAACACCGAAACTCAAGGTCAATGCCCACCAAACCTTTCCAGTATTTTCTGTTGGTCATGGAAGTTCTGTGTGCCAAGTTTAGTTCAATTCCATCCTTGGTGGAGTTCAGAATGCTCTTTTATTGTAGGTGAACTATAAATCCCAGCAACTAACATTCCCAAATGACAAAATCAATCCCCCCTCAGCATTCAAATTTGGGTGTATTGGGTATTTGTGCCAAATTTGGTCCAATGAATGAAAATACATCCTGAATATCAGATATTTACATTGCTATTCACAACAGTAGCAAAAATACCGTCATGAAGGAGCAACAAAAATAATGGTATGGTTAGTGGTCACCACAACATGAAGAACTGTGTTAAGTTTATGGCAGCCACAAAAATAAGTTTCTGGAGTAGTAGACCTACTTTAAAAGTAAAGATCACAAAATTAAACAGAAAATAACACTTTGAAAACAGGAATGTTTTTTTTTTTTTTCAAATTTTGTTACATAGTGTTAATGTTTCAAGCAGGTGTGCTGTATGAGAAGCAGTTCACATGGAGAGTGTTTACAGGAGGCGCTCTGCAAGAACCCAAGGAAAGGGTTTTGCAAAGGTTCTGTTTTAGTGCATGGCTCGAATTATGGAGGGGGAATTTTCTGCAGATCCCTGCCCCACTCCCCATTGGGTCTTACTTGCCTCTTCACACTAGAGCAGTGGTTCTCAGCCTTCCTAATGCTGCGACCCCCATAATACACTTCCTCATGTTGTGGTGACCCCCAACCATAAAATTATTTTCGTTGCTACTTCATAACTGTAATTTTGCTACTGTCATGAATTGTAATTTAAATATCTGATATGCAGGATGTATATTCATTCACTGGATCAAATTTGGCACAAATACCTGAATTTGAATACTGGTGGGGTTGGGGGGGGGTGATTTTGTCATTTGGGAGTTGTAGTTCCTGGGATTTATACTTCGGGTACTATCAAAAAGCATTCTGAACTCCACCAACAATGGTATTAAACCAAGATTGGTGCACAGAACTCCAATGATCAACAGAAAATACTAGAAAGGTTTGATGGGCATTGACCTTGAGTTTAGGAGTTGTAGTTCACCCACACCCAGAGAGCACTGTGGACTCAAACAATGATAAATCTGGTTCAAACTTGGCACAAATACTCAACATGCCCAAATGTGAACACTGATGGAGTTTGGGGGAAAAGGACCTTGACATTTGGGAGTTGTAGTTGCTGGGATTTATAGTTCACCTACAATCAAGGAGTATTCTGAACCCCACCAGCGATGGTATTAACCCAAACTTGGCGCACAGATGGTTCTGCAGATCCCTGCCCCACTCCCCATTGGGTCCAACAGAAAAAAACTAGAAAGGATTGGTAGGCATTGACCTTGAGTTTAGGAGTTGTATTTCACCCACATCCAGAGAGCACTGTGGACTCAAATAATGATAAATCTGGTTCAAACTCGGCACGAATATGTATTGTCAAATGCTTTCATGGCTGGAATCACTGGGTTGTTGTAGGTTTTTTCAGGCTATATGGCCATGTTCTGGAGGCATTCTCTCCTGATGCTTCGCCTGCATCTGTGGCAAGCATCCTCAGAGGTAGTGACGTCTGTTGGAACTAGGAAAATGGGTTTCTATATCTTTGGAAAGACCAGAGTGGGACAAGGAACTCTTGTTTGCTGGAGCTAGGTGTGAATGTTTTAACTGACCACCTTGATTAGCATTTGATAGCCTGGCAGTGCCTGGAGCACGAATACTCAATATGCCCAAATGCGAGCACTGATGGAGTTTAGGGAAAATACATTTGGGAGTTGTAGTTTCTGGGATTTATAGTTTACCTACAATCAAAGAGCATTCTGAACCCCACCAATGATAGAATTGGGCCAAACTTCCCACACAGAGACCCCATGACCAACAGAAAATACTGTGTTTTCTGATAGTCTTTGGTGACCCCTCTGACACCCCTCTCATTACTTCCCCCTCAGGGGTCCCAACTCCCAGGTTGATAAATGCTGCACTAGAGAAGGATTCCACTTTAAATTTGGTTTCTGCCTCCTTCAGAATTCTGGGCTTTGTAGTTTAGTGAGGCTATTAAAGGGACAAACCCCAGAATTCTGCAGGAGGTAGCAACCGGATTTAAAGTGAATTCTCTAATGTGATGAAGTAGTTAATGACAGGCTGTAAGTTACAAACTTGCATGAACCAATGCAACCCCTGACTCTGCCATGGGTCGAGGCTGGGTTTCTGAAGGAGGCCTTGCCACTGCCTTCCATTGATGGAAGGAGGGAGGGAAGAGCATCCTTTGTGGGAAGGGAAGGAAGTCTCCCTCTCAGTAGCCAGTGCCCCTGCCTTTCTCCTTGTGGAGAGAAAAAGCAGGGGTGCAAGGGGAGTCCACTTCAGCAGTGGAGGATGTGTGGACCAGCCCGGCAATTGCCTCCCTATTCCTCCCTCCCTGCATCCTGGGGCCCAGTTACCTTCTGCTGCTGACTCTATGGGCTTCCAATGGAGGAGCAGATGCGAAGCAGCCCACAGGAGAGCCACTCCCTGTGTGGGAAACAGCTCCCCCACTCAGCATCCGGAGGACCACTTCCTGCAGCTGCAGCACAGATGCACTGCCACCACAACCCTTCTCCACCTGCCAGCAGCAGCACTTCCGGTGGCAGCCAAGGATGCTCACTCACCTTCTTCAAAGCACTATTACCTTCTGCTGAACTTGGGGAGGGCTGGTAGAAAAGGAATCCCATTTGGCAACTGCCAGCTAACTTCAGAGGAGCCGTGCTGGGGCAAGATGGAAATTGGTGCACCAGCCCAGCTCTTTCCTCCCACTGTGGCCAGCCAGCAGTATTGCCGGAGGGGGAGGATCTCTGCTTAGGGTTCTTAAATTGGCCCCAGAGGCTGAGACTTTTTCGTGTCAGGAGTGAATTGAAAAACTTCAAGTCGCTTCTGCAGATTGGCCATCTGCAAGGATGTTGCACAGGGGATGTCCGAATGTTTTGATGTTTTACCATCCTTGTGGGAGGCTTCTCTCATGTTGCCACATGCAGAGCTGGAGCTGACAGAGGGAGCTCATCCACACTCACCCCAGATTTGAACCTCCGACCTGTTGGTCATCAGTCCTACCGGCACAAGGGTTTAACCCATTGCGCCTCTGGGGGTTCCTGTTCTGGGACTAAAGACCAGAACAGGATGGACTGTTCTGGGACTGACTGGTTTTAAAGTGGTCCAAACTGGAAGTGCTCGCCTGGAGAAGTGGGGCGGATAAAATCCCCAGGTTTAAACAGGCCAAAATCCACAAATGCAGGTTTCAGCCAGGGCTCTGGCATCAGTGACTGGGTGCTTTTCCTTGCGCCTCATGCCACACTCACATCCTGGACAAACATGTCCAGGGCAGGTGACCCATGTAAAAGCGAGCCCTGCTAAGAGAGGGGGGGGGGGAGGCATTTCAGAGCCAATCCATCCTGCTTTTTGTATTGTGTCAGAAGCACAGTGGGTTAAATCGCTGAGCTGCTGAACTTGCTGACAGAAAGGTCAGCAGTTTGAATCCAGGGAGCGCAGTTGAATCCAGCTTCTGACAATCTAGCAGTTCGAAAACATGCTAATGTGAGTAGATCAATAGGTAACACTTCAGCGGGAAGGTAATGGCGTTCCATGCAGTCATAGAATCATAGAGTTGGAAGAGACCTCATGGGCCATCCAGTCCAAACCCCCTGCCAAGAAGCAGGAATATTGCATTCAAATCACCCCTGACAGATGGCCATCCAGATGGCCTCAGTTTAAAAGCTTCCAAAGAAGGAGCCTCCACCAGTTTTCTCACACCAGAAGCAGCTTTCAAGCTGCTTCTGGTGTGAGAAAATTGGCCATCTGTAAGGATATTGCCCAGGGGAAGCCCAAATGAGGCTTCTCTCATGTCCCTGTATGGGAAGCTGGAGCTGACAGACAGGAGCTCACCTCGTCTTGTGGATTTGAACCACCAACCTTCAGGACAGCAGTTCAGCTGGCACAAGGTTTTAACCCATTGCGCCACCACAGCCCCTGGAAGGTTTGGGAGACTAATGTAGGGACTCTTATTCCCAATCTTTAGATGCCAGTGTTGGAACATGAGAAACTATTTTTGGGTTGTCACCTACGCACTTCAATTTCTTCTGGGGGAATGATGGTTACCTCTGTCTCTAGCTGCTTTTGCATTCATTCCCTCCCATTAAGCAACCTTACAACGCTGCAATGTCCCATAAGCAGGGCCCAATATCTAACTGCTGAAGGGAAGGAAGGGGACCATGGCCGGCCCTTGCCTTGTCCAGTGAGGAACCTTTTCTTCTTGACTGTATGGGTCTCTTTCAACTCTTAATCCTATGAAACAGGAGTCTGAAGAACTTTTTTCTTTTAAAGAAGAGGGGGGCAGTCCCAGAGTGCCGGCCCTTTCCGTGCTTCCAATGCAGTCATCCCAGGTAGCTGCTCTTCTCCAAGAATGCATCTATTAGGCCTGTGCGGTTTCGTTCGTTAATTCGTTAATTCGTTAAACATTCGTTAATTTTTGCATATACGAAACGATAACAAAACATATTTTCAAACCCGGAAGGGTTTTTAAATATCGAAACGGCAGCCCCCACAGTTTTAAGGAGCTTTCGCCCGTTTCGTAAATGGGGCGGGCGGGGCGAGGGGGCGGCGCGAGCGCGCACCCAGTGAGCCAAGCCCCGCCCCTGCCTGTTGGGCGCGAGCGCGGCTCCCGATTGGCCGGCCCGCGCGCGCTCGCCCTTAGGGCACTGGTGGAGTTTGGGGGAAATAGACTTGACATTTGGGAGTTGTAGTTGCTGGGATTTATAGTTCACCTACAATCAAAGAGCATTCTGAACCCCACCAACGATGGAATGAACCAAACTTGGCACACAGTTCTCCCATGACCAACAGAAAATACTGGAAGGGTTTGGTGGGCAGTGTCCTTTGGTTTTGGAGTTGTAGTTTACCTACATCCAGAGATCACTGTGGACTCAAACAATGTTGGATCTGGACCAAACTTTGCCGGACCAGGCTTCCCCCTCTTTCCTTCTTTCCTTCCCCTGGCCCCTTTCTCTTCCCTTCCCCTTCCTTCCTTCCCTTTCTTCTCCTTTCCCCTCCCTCCTTCCCTACCTTCCTTTCCTTCCTTCTTCTTTCTCTCCGTGGTACACCGGGCCAGGCGCTGCCTCCGCTTGTTCTCCTGGCACGGCTGGGAGGGAAGCAGGTGGCGTCCCGTGGCCACGGAGAACAAGAGAGCACAGCAGAAGAAGATCTGCGGCCAAGAAGCACCTCCTGTTCCCCTCCCAGCTGTGCCAGGAGAACAAGCGGAGGCGGCGCCGGGTGGGCGTGGCCAGGCAACGCTGGCTTCCCCGGGCCGGCATCTGGGGCAAGGAAGGAAGGAAGAAGGAAAGGAAGGGAGGGAAGGAGGGAGGGAGAGAAAGGGGGAAGGGGAAGGAAGGAAGCATTCTCTCCTGACGTTTTGCCTGCATGTATGGCAGGCATCCTCAGAAATAACGAAGCTTCGGAAGTGTTTTTTACGCATGCGCGGGGGTCCGCCATCTTTACAAAATGTTTTGTAAATATTTACGAAATTTCGTAAATACCAAAACTTTTTTGGGAAAGTTTTGTAATTATTTTAAATATCGAAACAAAAAAACACCCCAATTACAAATCGATTTTAGAAACAAATTTTTTCTTGATCAAACAGGCCTAGCATCTATGTGTCTTTCTGCCACTCAACTTGTTAGAAAGGTCTTGTGTTGTACAAAAGGCAAAATCCCAGTTTCATTCCATTCATAATGGTTATAAAGGAAGGTCCGGTGGTGCAGTGGATTAAATCGCTGTGCTGCTGAACTTGCTGACAGAAATGTCAGCAGTTTGAATCCAGGGAGCGCCGTTAGGCCCAGCTTCTGCCAACCTAGCAGTTTGAAAACATGCAAATGTGAGTAGATCAATAGGTACCACTTGAGCAGGAAGGTAATGGCATTCCACTTGAGCAGGAAGGTAAAGTCATAGAATCAGTGTTGGATGAGACCTCATGGGACATTTTCCTGCCAAGAAGCAGGAAAATTGCATTCAAAGCACCCCCAACAGATGGCCATCCAGCCTCTGTTTAAAAGCTTCCAAAGAAGGAGCCTCCACCACACTCCGGGGCAGAGAGTTCCACTGCTGAATGGCTCTCACGGTCAGGAAGTTCTTCCTAATGTTCAGATGGAATCTCCTTTCTTGTAGTTTGAAGCCATTGTTCCACGTCCTAGTCTCCAGGGAAGCAGGAAACAAGCTTGCTCCCTCCTCCCTGTGACTTCCTCTCACATATTTTATACATGGCTATGTCTCCTCTCAGCCTTCTCTTCTTCAGACTAAACATGCCTAACTCTTTAAGCCGCTCCTCATAGGGATGTTCTTAAGACCCTTGATTATTTTAGTCGCCCTCCTATGGACACATTCCAGCTTGTCATGCCGGCCACATGACTTAGGAGGTGTCTAAGGACAACGCTGGCTCTTTGGCTTAGAAATGGAGATGAGCACCACCCCCCAGAGTCAGACACGACTAGACTTAATGTTAAGGGGAAACCTTTACTAGGCTACTAATGGGAGCTGGGTACAGGGAGTGCACAACTCCCTTGCTGCACCAGCTCCACTGGCTGCCAATTAGCTTCCGAGCACAATTCAAAGTGCTGGTTTTAACCTATAAATCCCTATACGGTTCCAGCCCTGTTTACCTGTCCAAATGTATTCTCCCCTATGAACCATCAAGGACATTAAGATCTTCCGGAGAGGCCCTGCTCTCGGTCCCACCACATTCACAAGCGCGTTTGGTGGGGACGAGAGACAGGGCCTTCTCTGTGGTGCCCCCTCGGCTGTGGAACTCTATCCCGAGCAAGATTAGATCTGTCCCCTCCCTCTTGTCCTTCAAGAGTTTAGTGAAATCCTGGTTATGGAACGAAGCATTCCCAGAATAATGGTTGAAACTGGTTACAGACCACAGTGAGTGACCACATATGCAGACTGAGTTGAACTTGATTTTACCTTGGCGATTTGGTATATATGCATTTTATCTATATGTATTTTAATCTTGTATTATTGTATGACATTTTAACTTGTATTAGTAGCATTGAATCCTTGCTGTAAGCCGGTCTGAGTCCGTCTACGGAGGTGAGAAGATCGGGATATAAAAGTATTAAATAATAAAATACTATGATGGTTTTCCTTGTGACCCCCGCCTTTTCAGTGCTTCCTTGCCCATTCTAAAAGGAAAGGTGATGGCACTCTGCACCCCACTCAGTGTGCCTTTCAATAGTAAACCTCCTGCACCGCAACGCCTGCCAGTAACGCCAAATGTCAGAACAGGAACCAGAAGCCCTTGGTTTTTAAATAAAAGTTTAATCTCTCCTTCATTGAGGTCTCGAGTAACAGAAATACTGCTGAATCCTTCATTGCCTCTCAACCCCTGGGAGACAGATGGAGAGGCCTGAAGGACCCAAAGCCATGAAGCAAACACACGCCACATAAGCCGGACAGACGGACGGAGAAGGGACAAAACATGAGCCTGTGTTCACAGAGTGGGATGCTTCCTGGGGTGGTGGTTAGGGTCACTCAAAGGCACCACAGCCCAAGTCTCAAGCAGGACATGTCTCCCATTCCATATCCCTCCATTTTTCCAGTCGCGACAGGCCTCCTATTTCCCAAAATTCTCCCCCACACACCCTTAAACCATCCAGAAAGTCGAAGGAAATAAGGTGGCATTGGGATGTGATTCTTGGCAGCTGGGCCTAGAGACTCCTGCCATTCTCTGTCATGGGAGCGAAGACGGGTGATCAAAGAGCACCAATAAATAAAGCCACACCAGGGGAAGCCGCTCCGGGCAGGAGGTGAGTCCCCACAAGGCACCTGAGGATGGCCCCACTCAGGCAGAGGGACAGGAGAGAAAGCTGGACAAGGGCTACAGAGAGCTAAACAGGAAATACCTCAAAAGGTGAGGAAGGAGGAGTGGAGACTCCTCTGAAATGAACTGGACAGAGCAGCCAAAGAAGGGCCAAGGAGGCCGGCCGGATCTCCTCTTCTGACCAGTGATGGGAGAGACCCAGCCACACCACACAGGCATCAAACTATGCCCCCAACCACCCCCCCCCCCCAAGGATGTGTGGCTCCCTTTGCAAGGCCAGATGTTCTCTGCTGACTTGAAAGGGCTCAACAGTTTCGGGAGGAGCCTAAAACTACCAGAGGAGGCTGCGGATGACTGGCCAGAAGATGGTCCTCCCCTATGACGATCTGGGAAGTGCAAAGGTGGAACAGAGGAGAGGGACAGTCAAACAAGCAAGAGCTTCTACTGAACCTTGAAACAAATTTTGTTTTTGTTTTTTTTTTTCAGAAAAAAAGAAAGAAAAAGAAACCACACAAGCAGCCGCTGCATTTACTGTTATAACGGGACGTGGCTGAATAGATAGGAGACTGACTCCCCGTTGTGGGTCCTTCGGATGGCTTCCGCCAGGATCATAGAGATGTCAATCACCTGCAAAGAGCAAGGGAGGCATGAGAGTGAGGGACCACAAGGTACCCGAGGGAGGGGGGAGGCAGAGGAGACAAGGCTACTCTTTGGCAAGACATCCCCCCATAAATTCCCATTATCTTCATATTATTATTATTATTACTAACTAGCTAGTTAGTAGCCAGCTGCATTAAATCACTACTGACTGAGAGGTCATGAGTTCAAAGCCAGTCCGAGTCGGAGTGAGCTCCCAACCATTAATAGTCTAGCTTGCTGTTGACCTATGCTGCCCGAAAGACAGTTGCATCTGTCAAGTAGGAAATTTAGGTACCGCTTTATGCGAGAAGTCTAATTTAACTAATTTATGATACTATAAAACCTTCCAGCAGTGTGCATAAGAATGAGGAAGTACTCCATCAAGGACTCAGTGTCAGAAGTGGACAATGAAGTGGCAGCTCCCCTTGTGGCCGGAATCGAGCATACCCTCATGAAGCTGGAAAGCTAAATTGCCTCTATGTCTGTCTATATATGTTGTGTCTAATGGCATCAATTGTTTGCCATGTATATGTGCATTGTAATCCGCCCTGAGTCCCCTGAAGGATGAGAAGGGCGGAATATAAATACTGTAAATAATAAATAATAATTATGAGATACATAACAAGATTAGTACACAGCAAACAAGATCACTATGCTAGCTTTCGTATTTGATCACATGTTAGACACTTCCCAAGTGTCTAGGACTGTGTGATGTATCAGCAAATAATGTGTGCAAATCCGAGTAGGTAGCCTTTTCCAGCTGACAGGCTGGGATTTTGTCAGTGCCGATTGTTTTCAAGTGCAGGCCAAGGTCTTGAGGCACTGCACCCAATGTGCCAATCACCACTGGGACCACCTTGACTGGCTTGTGCCAGTCTTTGCAGGTTGATCTTTAAATCCTCATATCGTGTAAGCTTTATTATTATTATCAACACTATTGTAACAACACTTTAAAATGTTCTGTTCCTGGTTTGAAAGTGTTATTCCTGTTTGATTGTGTCGATCTTACTTTGAAAGTAGTTGCTGCCACAAACTAGGTGAATTGGTTGAGCCTCTATGAGATATTCACTGGAACAAAGTGTAATATGATCTGACATGGTGCCACAAGAATATTGTTGTTTTAAATTATTATTTTATGATCTTTCAACACTTATTATCAATGTATTTGGATTGTTGTTTACATGATTTTAATATGTTACAAGCTGCTTTGGGTCCTGTGAGGGAGAAAAGCGGGATATAAAAATAAAACAGCAATGTTTTTAGTGCAATAAGGACTTGAGAACAGACCAATGGAACGACTACGGATTTGATTTTGGATGGCGTGATTTTAGTACCTGTTTTAAAATTGCTTTGTTCAATGGGTGGAATGTAATATAAATGTTATTGTATTATCAATATTTTAATTCTATGTTTATGTTCAAATGCCATTCTATGTTTTATGTTTAGTAAGGTTAGGTTTTTCATTTATAGTTACATGTTATTATATAGTTTACATGTTTTGGTTTTCATATGTATGTACAGCATTGAATTTTGCCATTATTATGTTGCAAACTGCTTTGAGTCCCCTCAGGGGGAGGGGAGAAAAGCAGTATATAAGTGCAGTAAATAATAAATAATAAAGATATTATTATTATTATTAATAATAATAATAATAATCAGGTTTTACAATGTATTGTAATGTAATATAGCTGAGTCATGCACTGCTAATGGGCTTCTATTGGAAATGCTGAGTCATGCATTAACTGTATATAGAACTTCATTTGGGGAATGTGTTCTGGCCTAGTCCAGGTGATTGTGAATGATGTAATCCTGGGTCTGAGTTAAGTTAATGAGTTGGGAACCAATCAGAGATTGCTATGTGTAATTGTATAGAATTGTATATAAGGAAGTCATGTACAGTGTATATCTCTCCTTGTGCTGTGATGTTGTTCGTCGAAGGCTATATGTAATTAAAGAACCTGTCTGCTAAGACAAGATATTACTGTATGCTGTGGTAAGTTTGTAATATCATCTAGACTGGGGGAAAGACAATGGTAAAACTGACAATGGCCGGGCATGTGCTCAAGTGTCTGTAAAAGGTTCCAGAGTGACTGCAGGCTGTGGGAGCAGTTGACTGAAAATACTGTGCAGGAAGAAGCTACTGGAAAGCGCTGAAGTTGTGCAACTGATCTGCTGCTGAATTGTGAAGTTAATCTCAACATAATAATAATAATAATCATCATCATCATTATTATTGAAAACCGATCATCATCATCATCATCATCATCATTATTATTGAAAACCGAGAGCAAAATGTGCTGCAGGATGCCCTTCCCGCAGAAACAAAGTTTTTGAAGTTTAATAAACTTTCCCCATGTTTTTATGATATGTCATTTCCTAATTGGTTCTAACAAAAAATGTGTTTCATAGTGTAATAATAATTTGCTAATTTTTCTGTCACAAAAGACAACCATGCCATCATCTCATCCCCTTCCCACTTAAGAAGGCAAAGATCATTTGGGGGTGGCTCTACATTTTATGCTGCTAACTTTAATCTTTCAGATAGAAAGGAATCACTAATGCTGAAAACGATAGAGAAGGGGGTCCTCAAACTAAGGCCCAAGGGCCGGATACAGCCCTCCAAGGTCATTTACCCGGCCCTCGCTTGGGGTCAACCTAAGTCTGAAACAACTTGAAAGCACACACAACAACAACAACAGCAATCTTATCAGCCAAAAGCAGGCCCATACTTCCTTTTGAAATACCAAAAAGTTTATATTTGTTTAAATTGTTCTTCATTTTAATTACTGTATTGTTTTTAAGTGTTTTTTGGACTACAAATAAGGTATGTGCAGTGTGCCTAGGAATTCATTCTTTTTTTTTTCCAAATTATAATCTGGTCCTCCAAAAGTTTAAGGGACTGTCAATTGGCCCTCTGTTTAAAATGTTTGAGGACCCCTGCATATCATTTACAAGAACAATGCATACGGCCCACTGCTGCATTACAAATTAATTTCTCAAGCACCAGACTCAGCCTTTCCTGGGAGTTTGTCCTTCTGCTTTTCTAGGAAGCCCTACCTGGATTTTCGGGCAGTGCTTCATCTTGTCCTCTTGCGGGATGGTGTTGGTGACGACCACGGCCTCAAAGCAGGCGCTGTTGATGCGGGAGATTGCCGGTCCTGAGAAGATCCCATGCGTCAGGATGGCATACACTTTGGTGGCGCCTGCGGAGATGAGCCTGCGTGGCAGAGAGGCAGAGGGTGGGGCGCTCAGCTCCAGGGAGGGAAAGCCAAACCCCGTCCCAAAGGCGGGCGGGCAGAGAGGCCCCAGGCTCCCTGATCAGAGGGAAAGGGACGCACCTGTCTGCTGCGTGGCAGATGGTGCCACAGGTATCCGCCATGTCATCCACCAGTATGGCCACCCGGTCCTTCACGTCCCCCACCAACACCATGCGGTCCACCTCGTTCGCCTTCTTCCTCTCCTTGTGGATGAGGGCAAAGTCTACATTCAGCCGGTCAGCGATGGAGGTCACTCTGAGGAGGGAGAGAGCCACACTCAACAGCCGCCAGCAGATCAAGCCAGAATGCTGCTGGCACATGACAATGGCACTTGTTCGGCCTCTATAGCAGTGTTTCTCAACCTGGAGATCAGGGCCCCTGGGGGGTCACGACAGGGTGTCAGAGGGGTCACCAAAGACCATCAGAAAATAGTATTTTCTGTTGGTCATGGGGGTTCTCTGTGGGAAGTTTGGCCCAATTCTATCATTGGTGGAGCTCAGAATGCTCTCTGATTGTAGGTGAACTATAAATCCCAGCAACTCCAACTCCCAATTGCCAAAGTCTATTTCCCCCAAACTCCACTAGTGTTCACATTTGGGCATATTGAGTATTCGTGCCAAGTTCGGTCCAGATCTGTCATTGTTTGAGTCCACAGTGCTCTCTGGATGTAGGTGAACTACAACTCCAAGACTCAAGGTCAATGCCCACCAAACCCAGTATTTTCTGTTGGTCAGGGGAGTTCTGTGTGCCCAGTTTGGTTCAATTCCATTGTTGGTGGAGTTCAGAATGCTCTTTGGTTGGGGGTGAACTATAAATCCCAGCAACTACAAATCTCAAATGACAAAATCAATCCTCCCAACTCCACCAGTATTCTAATTTGGGCTTATCGGGGTTTTGTGCCAAATTTGGTCCAGCGAATGAAAATACATCCTGCATATCAGATATTTACATTACAATTCATAACAGTAGCAAAAATACAGTTATGAAGTAGTAACAAAAATAATGTTATGGTTGGGGGTCACCACAACATGAAGAACTGCATTAAGGGGTCGCGGTGTTAGGAAGGTTGAGAAACACTGCTCTATAGGGAAGCGTCTCAAAAGCCAAAGCGGAATGTCGGCAGCTGCAGGGGAAAGGCGCCTCTGTGGCCCTCCATGATCCCTGCCCAGCTGTGATAATGCAGGATGGGAGAAGGAGCCTGTTCACATCTCTGGGGCCGAGGACTTTCCTCACCCACACTAATAATAATAATAATAATAATAATAATAATAATAATAATAATAATAATAATAGGTTGTTGTAGGCTTTTCCGGGCTATATGGCCATGCCTCTAGAACATGGCCATATAGCCCGGAAAAACCTACAACAACCCAGTGATTCCGGCCACGAAAACCTTTGACAATACAATAATAATAATAATAATAACAACAAAAACAATAATAAACAACATCTATAACCCATCACCATCTCCCCAAAGGGCAACTAACACGAGGAGCGGCTAACATGAGGCCAAGCCCAAAATAATACAACATAATTAGACACAGAATAGCAAGGAAATACAACATAATATATAAAACACATAAAATAAAATAAACAATATAAAATGTCATAGTAAAATCAACACAAAGGGTGGGCCTGATGTGTGAGATAAAACATTAAAAGGTTAAAACCCTGGGTGAAATAGGAATGAAAAGTGCATTTATGAGAGAGGAGTCCAAGAAGGAGGAGCAGTGGAGTTTGGCCTTTATGGGGGACAGGGGGAGGTGCTTTATCATAAGGATAACTGGGGGTGGGAACAAGCAAATGAGTTGAGTGGTCATTCTCCGAAGGCACACTGGAAGAGCCAGGTTTTCAGATCTTTCTTGAAAGCAGCTAGGGTAGGGGCTTGCCTGATCTCCCCAGGGGCCACAGCGGAGAAGGCCCTCTTCCTTGTCCCCACAAGTTGAGCTTGTGATAGAGGAAGGAGCGAAAGGAGGGCCTCTCCAGAGGATCGAAGAGATCATGCACTTTTATGGTAGGAGATGCAGTCACAAAGGTAGGTGGCTCCCGGCCACTGCAAACCAAGACCTGGCCCAAATCTGCAGAAAGTGCAGCTCCTCATCTTGGCTCGCCAGGGAGAGACTCAATGCCAAGAGAGCTAGTTGCAAAGGACGTCAGCCAAAAACCAAACCATTCAAGGAGGACTATTGTAGCATGAGGAGAGGCAGGGGCATGACAGTCAAGGGCACCTGAGGAAAAGGCAGAGGGAGCCCCAGCCCCTTTTGGTGGCCTCACCGTTTGGCTCCTCCGGCATCTGGTGAGACGATGGTGCAGTTCTTCCACTCCACGATGTTCTCCTTGATCCACTTCAGGACTGCAGGCTCCGCATACAGGTTGTCCACAGGGATGTCAAAGAAGCCCTTCGGGGAGAGAAGGAAGGGAGGGAGGGAGGGGATGGTGTCTCCACATAAACTGGACAAGCTTATCAGTAGTATGTCAACGATACCATTCGCCAAGTGGCCTCAGAGACCCAGCTCCCTCAATAAGCCCTGCCTTCTCTGGAGAGGCCCAGGGCTACTTGCCAAACCAACCTGGATCTGAGAGGCATGCAGGTCCATGGTGATGATGTGGTCAGCCCCAGCCACCGAGAGCATGTTGGCCACCAGCTTGGCGGAGATTGGGGCCCGGCTCTGTGGGTGGAAACAGTGGGTCAAAGCCAAGGAGACCCCTTCCGCTCCCCACTGACCCATCCCTACAGGGTCCCTCCTTCTGGGCTCCTCCCACGGCCCACAGACCTCTCACCCCACAGAAAGGTCATACGAGAGGCAGGCCTCCCAGTGCCCGCGGGGCATCCCAACCTTGTCCTTCTTGTCCTGCCGGGCGTAAGGGAAACAGGGGATGACGGCCGTGACCCGGCTGGCGGAGGCGATCTTGCAGGCGTTGATCATGATCAGCAGCTCCATCAGATTGTCATTGATCTCCCCGCAGCCGCTCTGCACAATGTAGACATCCTCCCCGCGGACGCTCTCCCCGATCTCCACACTGCGCAGGGGGCCACAGAATCATAGCATCATAGAAGAGTCAGAAGAGACCCCAGGGGTCATCCAGTCCTACCCCCTTGTTTCTGCCTTCATGCAAGAAAAGCACCTTCAAATGCAGGAAAAGCACGCCAACAGATGGTTATCCAGTCTCAATAATAATAATGATACAGCTGGAAGATACTCCATTTGATTCATGGCTGGTTGTTTACTAGGGTTTTAATGTTTTACTTATAACCTTTTGTTATGTTTATTGTCATTTTATTTTGATTTGATGTGGTTTAAGTTAAATTTTGGATTGATTAGGGTATTGTTCTATATTTTATGTTGTTCTGTTTACATTGTAAGGCACCCCAAGTCCCTCTAGGGCAGTGGTTCTCAACCTGTGGGTCCACAGATGTTTTGGCCTTCAACTCGTAGAAATCCTAACAGCTGGTAAACTGGCTGGGATTTCTGGGAGTTGTAGGCCAACACACCTGGGGACCCACAGGTTGAGAACCATTGCTCCACGGAGATGGGGTGGCATATCAATAAAGATATAATCATCATTTATTCAGTCCTATATATGGAGCCCCCGGTGGAGCAATGGGTTAAACCCTTGTGCTAGCAGGGCTGAAGGTTGCAGGTTTGCATCTGAGAAGAGCCAGGATGAGCTCCCTCTTTCAGCTCCAGCTCCCTAGGCTGGGACATGAGAGAAGCCTCCCACAAGGATGGTAAAACATCAAACATCCGGGCATCCCCTGGGCAACATCCTTGCAGACAGCCAATTCTCTCACACCAGAAGCAACATGCAATTTTTCAAGTCGCTCCTAGCATGACAAAAAAAAAAAAATCAGTCCAACCCCCTTCTTTCTGTCTTCATGCAAGAAAAGCACACTCAAAGCCCTGCCAACAGATGGCCACTCAGTCTCAATAACAACAACAACAAGAACAAGAACAACATGGCTGGAAGAGACCCCAGGGGTCATCTAGTCTAACCCCCTTCTTTCTGCCTTCAAGCAGGAAAAGCACATTCAAAGCCCCCCAAACAGATGGCCATCCAGTATCAATAATAATAATACAGGGTGAGGCAGCATAACTTCCTTTTTCAAATTACGCGCCATTCAGTCAGTTGAAGATGTAGCAGAGCGCTAGTGGTCTCATTCAAGAGGTGGAAGCATAAAGTTTTGTCCTGACACAGTTCAGTTGCCATCATGCATTGGAACAGTGAGGTATCAGCCATTGGTTGAGTTTCTGGGTTTGAGCCTGCCACTTTTGGACTCTTGCTTGCTGGTGTGTTCCAGCGAGTGTCTCTGTAGATCTTAGAAAACTATTTCTAGATTTAAGTCGTTGGCGTGCTGGCTGATACCCAAACAGGGGATGAGCTGGAGATGTCTCTGCCTTGGTCCTTCCACTATTGGCTGCTACTTCCTGGCGGATGTCAGGTGGTGCAATACCGGCTAAGCAGTGTGATTTCTCCAGTGGTGTAGGGCGCAGACACCCCGTGATAATGCACATGTCTCATTAAGAGCCACATCCACTGTTTTAGTGTGGTGAGATGTGTTCCACACTGGGCATGCATACTCAGCAGCAGAGTAGCATAGCGCAAGGGCAGATTTCTTCACTGTATCTGGTTGTTCTTAGATGATTTTATTTTTATTTATTTATTTCGTATACTTCTACCCCGCCCTTCTCAACCCCCGAGGGGGGACTCAGGGCGGCTTACAAAAAGGCACATCTTGGTGCCTACACAAATACAATAACATATAAAACCAGCAATTAAATGGTCAACAATTAAAACAATTAAAACAATATGTCACACAATCAATAGCCAATCTCAGACACAGTGTTCGCCAACTCAGAGTTCATATTTCGTTCCACCTTGTCCAATTCCTATCCATCGTCACAGTCCCTTATTCATCTGCCAGATTGCCCAAACGCCTGGTCCCACATCCATGTTTTTAATTTCTTTCTGAAGGAAAGGAGGGATGTTGCTGATCTGATCTCCCCGGGGAGTGAATTCCATAGGTGAGGGGCCACCACTGAGAAGGCCCTGCTCCTCGTCCCCGCCAATCTCACTTGTGACAGAGGCGGGGTCGAGAGCAGGGCCTCCCCAGAGGATCTCAGACTCCGAGATGGGACGTAAAGGAAGATGCGTTCGGACAGATACGATGGACCAGAATCATATAGGGTTTTGTAGGTCAAAACCAGCACTTTGAATTGTGCTCGGAACTGGATCGGCAGCCAGTGGAGCTGACATGTATCTGGTTGTGATCCCCAGGTTGTGCCAGTCAGCTTTCATATGATATTGGTTCTAGCACCCACTTTTTGCTTGATGTTCAGGCAGTGCTTCTTGTAGGTAAGAGCATATAATAATAATAATATTAATAATAATAACAACAACAACAATAATAATAATAATGGCATAACTGGAGAAGACCCAAGGGACCATCCAACCCCCTTGCCTTCATGCAAGAAAAGCACACTCAAAGCCTTCCCAACAAATGGCCACCCAATCTCTACAACAGTAGTAACATAGCTGGAAGAGACTTCAGGGGGCATCCAAACCAACTCCTTTTCTGCCCTCATGCAGGAAAAGCACACTCAAAGCCACCCCAACAGATGGCCATCTAGCCTCTGTTTCAAAGCTTCCACTACTCCCCAAGGCAGAGAGTTCCACTGTTGAACAGTCAGGAAGGGGCTTGGGAGGGCGGGACTTCCGGGGGAAGCCAGGCCTGAGCCCCTTCCCCCCTGACTCACCATGTCTCCTGGTTGGAGAACTTCTTGGTGACGACCTTCCCGAGCTCGAGGCCGAGGCGGTCGGCGATCTTCTGCGAGAGGTCCTGGTGGGAGCTGCCGCTGAAGATCTTGATGTTGGGCATCCTGCCGGCCAAGGACGGGTGGGGAGGGGGCGGCGCCGAGCTGGGCGAGGAGAAGGAGGAGGAGGGAGAGGCCGCCGCCTCCTCGGCCTCCCTGCGCCGCTCCCGGCCTTCGGAGCCCGCCGCCTCGGCCTCGGCTGCCCGCGGGGGATCCAGCCGCCGCCGGCCTTCCGCCCTCTTGGCGGCTCTGGCGGGAAGAACGCGGGGAACGAGAGCGGAGGGCGGGAGGCCGGGGAGAGCGCGCCTACCGCGACGACAACGACGACGCCATCTTGGCGCTTCCTTTTTTATCGCCTCGGCCACGCCCACCTGCCGCGCGCGAGGAGCAACCCACGGCGCAGGCGCGTGCCGGCAAGCGTTTCCGATTGGCTCCTCCGAGGAGCAGAGCGGGCCCCGGCAGCCAATGGGAGCGGGCTCCTCGTGAAGGCTTTATCGCGGTAATACAGGCGGCGAGATCCGGAGGGAGGGAGGGGAGGGGTTGGCAGCGGAGGGTGCGATGTGCGCCTGCGCGAAATGGATCAAGACTCTTGAAAGTGGCATTAGTGCACCTTGGCATGACTTCATGCTGCGAGATCCTGGGAGTTGTAGTTTGGTGAAGTACGTTGGGTTTCATCCCTGGACTGCACAAGTCCTTGTTTCATCAAGTTTCTAGTCCTCAATGGTAGGGCTATCTACCTGACTAGGCTCACATTTCCAAAACTTAGACAAGCCTTCACAGCCCTTCGTTTTCAAAGTATGTCCACTACGGCTGGGTAACCACAGAAAAATTTGTTTCTAAACTCGATTCGTTTTTAGGGGGTTTTTGCGTTTCGTTTTTAAAAAGAATTCCGAAATTTTTCTTTGAAAAAGTTCGAAATATACGAAATTTCATAAATTACGAAACAATTACGAAACAATTACGAATCGATTCGTTAATGGCGGACGCGATTGTGCAATACGCTAAAAAAACCTCCAAATGGGACAGGGGGAACTTCTGAAGCTTCCCTCTCCCTCTTTTGTTGACTGTTGGTGTGATAATTTATTTTTTTATCACTGATAAAACAAACAACAACTATAAAACTTGCACCAGACATACGGAAATAATAACGAAACAATTTCGAAACGATTTCGAAACAATTACGAAATAAATTGAAAAATTCGTTTCGATTTTTAGTTGGTCCAGCATGGCTCAATATCGGATCGTAAACTAATTTAAATACGAATTAATAACGAATTACGAAATTAACGAACGAAACCGCCCAGCCCTAATGCCCACAGCAGTGATTGATGGCAGATATACGGGCACCCCTCTGGCTCTTCGTTTATGTGTTTGCGGGGCCCTGGAAATTGAGGATCTGCCTCACTATTTGCTTTTCTGCCCTTTGTATTCTGACCCAAGAACCAAAATCCTGGGGTTTATTCTTCACCTCCTTCAGACCAACACTGTGTCCGAAAAGATTTTCTATCTCTTGGCTGACACTAACCCCGTGGTTACTCAAAAGGTGTCTCTTTTTGCCCTGGCAGCACAGAAAATCCGGGCAAAACTAATCTCTGATATTGCAGTTATTATTATTATTATTATTAAACTTTATTTGTACCCCGCTAGCATCTCCCGAAGGATTTGATACGGCTTACAAAGGCCGAGGCCTCAACACACAACATAACAGTAAATCTAAGTAAATCAAACAAATTAAAAACAGAATAAAGCAAAATAAACAGCAGGCACAATACACTAAAACACAATAAAACTGGGCCGGGCCAGAGAATGGGTACAAAGATTAAAAGTGCTGATGTGACAGGAGGTGTATATAGGGCTTCTAGGGCAAGTGCGATGTGCGATGTGCAGCAATCATTGGTTCTGATAAAGTGCTTATGGGACTTGGTAGTGGAGATTTCCTAATCTGGGAAGGCACATCGGAAAAGCCAGGTCTTCAAGTTCTTTCTGAAGACTGCCAATAGAGTCGGGGGGCCACCGAGGGCCACCACAGAAAAGGCCCTGTCTCGTGTCCCCACCAAGCGCGCTTGCGACGCAGGTGGGATCACGAGCAGGGCCTCTCCAGATGACCAAAGTGAACGCGTGGGTTCGTAGATGGAAATGCGGTCACGCAGGTAGGCTGGTCCCAAACCGTTCAGGGCTTTGTAGGTAAGCACCTGCACCTTAAATTGGGCTCGGAAAATAAACGGCAGCCAGTGGAGCTCCTTGAACAGGAGGGTTGACCTCTCTTTGTAAGGGGCCCCCGTTAGCATCCTAGCTGCTGCCCGTTGGACCAGTTGGAACTTCCGAGCCGTCTTCAAGGGCAGCCCCACGTAGAGCGCATTGCAGTAGTCCAATCTGGAGGTGACCAAGGCATGGACCACTCCGGCCAGATCCGCCTTCGCGAGGTACGGTCGCAGTTGGCGCACGAGTCTCAGTTGTGCGAAAGCCCTCCCAGACACCGCCGACGCCTGAGCCTCAAGCGTAAGCGTTGAATCCAAGAGGACTCCCAAACTGCGGACCTGTGACTTCAGGGGGAGTGTAACCCCGTCCAGCACAGGTTGCCACCCTATACCCCGGTCAGGTTTACGATCGACCAGAAGGACCTCTGTCTTGTCGGGATTGATCTTCAGCTTGTTCCTCCTCATCCAGATAGACACAGCGGCCAGGCACTCGTCCAGCACCCGAGAGGCCTCCTTGGAATTAGGTGGAAAGGAGTAGTAGAGCTGTGTGTCATCTGCATAGAGGTGGCACCTAGCTCCAAAACTCCGGATGACCAGTTGACTGTGCTGGGGATGCTCTCAACTAATAGTGGCTGTTTATGTAGTTTTAATAATGCTGTATCTATTTGCTTTTACTTGGTTTTTAATTATGCAGGTGGAGCCCCTGGTGGCGCAGTGAGTTAAAGCCCTAGGCCGACAGGACTGAAGACCGACAGGTCGCAGGTTCGAATCCGGGGAGAGGCGGATGAGCTCCCTCTATTAGTTCCAGCTCCTTATGCGGGGACATGAGAGAAGCCTTCCACAAGGATGATAAAACATCAAAAATCATCCAGGCATCCCCTGGGCAACATCCTTGCAGATGGCCAATTCTCTCACAACAAGAGCGGTTGCTCCTCACATGACAAAAAAAAAATTACACAGGTATGAGTCTATACATTATGTAGTATTTTAAAGGTGCATCTTGCCATCGATATATGTAGCATTTTAATGATTTATAGGATTTTGTTGTGTATTTTATATTGTATTTAATAATCTGGTGTTCATGTATTTATTTATTTTCCTTGCCTTGTATGTGAAAGACCTATGGTCTAAGCATCGAATAAACTATAAGCCGAGGCACCTAAACCTCCTCCTCTCCTGTACAAAGGTCCTCTTCAACCTCCTTTCTGAAGAGTTTCTCCCTTACAAATAATTTGCTCCATCTCTATCTCACCCCATGTTTGTAGCTTTAGTATTTCATTTTGTACATGTGGCCCGCTCACTGTTATTGTGTTGTGAATGATTTTATTGTGATTTTATATTGTTTGCTCTAGTACTCAATGAGTACTAGAGGCAGGGTCAAGCTCAGAGATTCCTTTCCTCAGAGGTAGTGAGGTCTGTTGTTGAGACAAAGGACTCTTGTCTGCTGGAGCTAGGTGTGAATGTTTCAACTGACCACAGTCAGCCCATTGTATGCTAATCAAGGTGGTCAGTTGAAACATTCACACCTAGCCCCAGCAGACAAGAGTCCTTTGTCTCACCCTGGTCATTCCACAGATATATAAACCCCTTTTCCTAGTTCCAACAGACCTACCTCTGAGGATGCTTGCCATAGATGCAGACGAAACGTCAGGAGAGAATGCCTCTAGACCATGGCCATACAGCCCGAAAAAACCTACAACAACCCAAATAAATAATAAATAAAATTGCTGGCAAGTCAGAAATAAAACTCAAGACGCTGGAAGTTTGATATTAAGATTATTATATTTGCTCTCCCTTGTTTGTAAAACAAGACATAAATTTATGTATCTATATATCTTTATATATATATCTATATCTATTATTTATTATATATATATCTATATATAGCCTTTATTACTATGTATAGTATGTACAAATTTCTTTTTGTTAAAAAAAAAAGCACTTTCTTCTGCACGTTCATCAGAGAGAGGCTCAGAGGAAGCCCCGCTCTGGCTGCTTGGCAAACAGCGAAGGAGGAGGAGGGAAGCCCCTTTGGTTTCGGGCTGAGAGGAGGCCTCCCCTCCGGGATCACGGATAGCCCTTGGGGCCAGGGAGCGGAGGGCAGGGTCTTGGGGGCCACAGTGTACATCTCCAGGTCAAGTATGAATTGGGTGAAGGAAAGGGAACGCCTCCAAATGTACCTCGTATTTCCGAAGCAAACAAATCTTAAGAGTCAAGAGTCTACCCACTGCAATGGGAACCCTGGGACTCCCCCCATGTGCCGGGACCCTCTTTCTCCAGAGGGAGGGAGAAAAGAGGAGAGGGTGGCTGCAGAGAAACCCCTCCCAAATTAGGGAGGGCTCAGTTCAAGGTTCATTTTGGGTTGAGGAAGGGGACCCCCCCCCTCCCGTACAGCAAGAGTTACATCCAAAGTCGGTGGGGGGGCACTCCTTGTGCCCCAAGAACAGAAAGACGGACCCATTAGGCACCATGTTACCAAACATTCAAAGAAGGTCAGAAGTCCTGAAGGAATGAACCAACAGTCCAGAGGAGCTAGAACATGTTTCCCAACCCCCAATCCCTCTTGTGTGTGGGAGGGGGGTTGGGGAGTGGGCAGCAATACATTATTCCTGGTTTTGGCCTCGCTGTGCTTCGAGGAGGGTCCCAAATTAGAAATAGTGTCTTCAGGCGGAAACGCCAAGCACCGCTTGTCCTAAAACCAGCTCTGGATGATGAGGATGGTGTGCCCTGCCATAATCACTGGCTTTCCTCATCATCCTCCCCACCACTGAATGAGTGACAGAGAGAAGGGGCACTTTTCTGCACAAAGACTCGTAAACCCCCTCGTCTCCCCTCTTCCCTGGCGAGTCTGGAACGTGCCCCGTTCGTCGTCTCACTTGCAATTGGCAACACTTTGTGTATGAGGGAAGGAGGGATTTCTAGGTTACCTGCCACCCCTGTCGATTGGGCAAAAATAACCCATTTTGTGACAGGTTCAGTGAACCCCACTGTGGTCCTTAGAGAGAGGAGGTGGGAAGTGGTGGTGTGATCAGAGGGACAGCCCCCCCCCCCCTACACACACACTAATTGCTGGCATGCTGCGCAGCACCCAAGGCAGTGGCCCAGGGCCCACACAATCCCCACATTCCCCCTCCAGCCTCCCTCTACCAACCACATGCCTAACCCCTCCGCCTGCGGGGGACACCCAGGGACTCCTTCTTGGCACGCTGATGCCATTGGGCAGCCTCACTTGTTTATCAGTGTCTTCAAGGAGCGTGTGAATGTGCCCATGACTGAGGCCACTGACTGCCGCCCCAGTGGATCAGTGGCCGGGTCTCCCACCCGGTGCGCGGCCGTCCTGGCCGTGGACTCCTCGGCAGCCCTCAGCAAGAAGGTGTAGTTCCTGACCACCTCCTCCACCTTGGCCAGCAGAGCCTGGCGCTGGGCCTCGGAGCGCACCACATGCACCAGCCGCACAAAGGTCTCGATCAGGCCACCCAGGACCTGGAAGCTGCTGGTGATGGCCAGGAGCATGTGTGCAGGGCTCTTGTCTACAGCAGCCACACGCCGGCAAGAGGCCCGGAACTCCTTGAACCGGAGGGCCAGCTCCTGCTTGCGCTCTATCAGCTGCGGGAGGCAGGGCTTGCCCTCCTCTCGGGGTTCGGGGTTCATGGCACATTGCCTCAGGACGGTTAGGAGCTCGCTGGTGTCCAGCTGGGCGGCTAGGAAGCCGTCAGGCAGTGTGTAGGTCCGGCCCTTCAAGGCATGAATTTTGGCCAGGCTGCCCTCCAGGGTGGAGGTCCGCAGGTCTATCTCCTGGGTCTGGTGGCTGTCCGGGCTGCTGCAGGCCGTGGCGTCCAGCACCTGGAGGGTCCGGCTGACCACAGGAACGACCTGGCTGTCGAGCTGCATGCCAGGCAGGATCTGGACGGGAATGGAGTAGGATAGTTCGTCCTTCTCGCTCCCGTCATCTGCTGTGTCGCACTTCCGGTAGTAGAAACAATAGCGGATGGAGCAGCAGCGCTCGCTGCCAGATCCCTCCTCTTCCTCCTCCTCTTCTTGCGCGCCTTCTTCTGGGAGCCGGCCGTGGTTGGGGTAGACATCCTCTGTAAGTGGGAAGGGGCTCCGGTGAGCCTTCTTCTCCTGGGCCGTTATTGGGATGCAGGAGGGGTCTGCTGATTCCTGGGCTTTACTTGTTGGTGGAGGGCCCTTGGCCTCCGGGTCGCTCTCCTTCAGCAGTGACTTGGCTGCCAGGTGGATGTTCCGATAGCCCTCCGGGGCTGGAAGGTTCGGCTCCACCTTATCTATTTCACCCACACTGTAGCGGCGCATCAGCTTCTTGTATTGAGGAACTCCCAAGCACTCTCCTCGGGAGGCACACGTGGTCAGGCATGACAAGCCGTTCTCGGGGTCGGAGCGGCGGCAGTACCTGGCCTCCAGGCTGGTGGACCGGATGCGGGCGCCCTTGGAGGGGCTCCGGATGCGCGTCCCCCGCAGGGGCTCCCCATGCTGCTGCTGCTGCTGCCTGAGGCCTCTCTCACGGCCACGCCTCTCTGCATCCGGAGCCTGGCTGGCCTGCGGCCTCCCCCCACGGCTCAAGCGCTTGCAGTCACAGCTGCGGCGCTGCTCCCTGGACAAGCCGGGCACCTTCTGGACAGGGCTGGTCCTGAGCTGGCAGGCACAGTGGCCCCCAGGGCCCGAAGGGAGCAGGTGGTCCGGCAGCACCGGGGGTGGCAGGGGTGGTGGGACGGCCTCCCCGGACTTAGCCTTTGGCTTTAGCAGCTCCTCCAGGAACTCCAGTTCGTACTGCTTGACCTTCTGCAGCTGGGCTTGGCGCTCATCCGTCTCCTTCCTAAGCCGGGCAGGGAAGGTGGCGGAAAAGAGGTTGCGCAGCCGGAAGGAGGCCTTGGGGACTTTGGGCTTTGCGGGAACGTCGGCCTCTGGCAGAGTGACTGCCAAGACTTTCTCGGGCTTCACCAAAGGCATGGGACTGGTTGCCACACTCTCAGCCCTGGGTCCCAGTTGGGCTTTCCCTTTGGGCTCCTCACCTTCGGGATTCGGGAGGGTGCCCTCACTCTTGGCACTTGAGGGCCTCAGGGAGATCCCTTCAGCCTGCAGGCCTCTGCCACTTGTCTCCTGCTGGCCACATTCCCCTCGGCCCAAAGAGGCAGTCTGTCTGTGGCTGGTTACACCAGCAGTCTCTGTGGGCCCTTTCTGGACCCCCAACCTCTCAGCTGACTCCTGTTTCTTTTTGGGACCTGACCTGTCCTCTTCACCTGGGGAGTGAGGAGGAGCACCCGTTTTGGCCCCCGGGGGACAGAGAGGGGCCCCATCTTGCACTGTCAGGGGGGCTTTGGGGTCAGGGGCAGGCTGGCCCAGGGACACCAACCTCTGAGGGCCAGGTTTGCTGCTAACTGGTCGCCTGCAACTCTGGCTGTCGCTGGGCATGGCACTTTCTTTTGGGGGAGCCAAAGGGGAAGATAAAGGAGAAGGGGAAGTGGCCTTGCGGCTGACCATTTGCTGCAGAGCTGCTGAGAGGAGGGCCGGGGTCATCCGGCCATGGGCATCCAGGAGCAGTGTGGGACTCAGCCGGACTTCTGCGGGCCTCTTGTCCTGCAGTCCCTGCAGATTGCTGAGAGAAGCTACGGCTCTGCATGGAGATGCCTCGGAGGCTGCTGGATGGAGGACAGAGCCCCTGTGCTCAGGGGCAGATGGCAGCGTGCCTTTGCCCCTGCTCTCTCCGGCCGGCTTGGGGGGTTCTGGCTGGGCGGCCAAGGTACTGCTCTGTCCCGGCTGGGAGGGACCCTGCTTGCCCTGGCTGCAGGCAGTGCTGGCTTCTTGGCTTGAGCTGGCTGGCTTCGGAAGGGAGCTGGACTCCGGCCGCCGGAGAACATACGGTGGTGAGGCAAGGACGGCTTGTGCGGCACAGCTTTGGAGGCGAAACGGGAGGTCCTTCCTGGCCAGCAGGCCCTCCTTGTTGATGTGCTGGGCCAGGAAGAAGGCGGCATTTTGGTGCTGCTTCATGGCCGAGACCACCTCCGAGACGTCCGGGATCTCTGAAGAGGTGGTCTCGTGGCCGGAGTCGAGAGAGGACTCAGGGGTGATGGCAGCCAGAACAATCAGCCCTGGAGAGAAAGAGAGACAGAGACAGAAAGAAGCTGGGGGTCAGAACAATGTGTTTACCTTTTAGTGCCACATGCAAGTTCCCTCACATGCCGGGTTTGGGGGGGGAGAGAACAGGTTGCCCGTTCACATGTCTCCCAGTACAAGCTAACTGGGAAGTGGCTGACTCCATGGGGTTAAGGCTCAGGCACAGGGAGGAATCATAGAATCACAGAATTGGAAGAGACCTCGTGGGCCATCCAATCCAACCTCTTGCGAAGAAGCAGGAAAATCGCATTCATAGCACCCCTGACAGATAGCCATGCAGCCTTTGCTTAAAAGCCTCCAAAGAAGGAGCTGCCATCACACTCCGGGGCAGAGAGTTCCACTGCTGAACAGCTCTCATAGTCAGGAAGTTCTTCTTAATGTTCAGGTGGAATCTCTTCTCTTTCCTGTAGTTTGAAGCCATTTTCCACATCCTAGTCTCCAGGGCAGCAGAAAACAAGCTTGCTCCCTCCTCCCTATGACTCCCCCTCACATATTTATGGCATAAGAAGCCATGCTATGCCACACCAAGGGCATCAGCATGTTGGCAGTTGCTGCCTGTGGCCACTTTTGTTGAGTGTCCATATGGTGTGTGAGAGTTCAGACAGGACTTTGCCTCCTTCCTGGGATGCCTAATCCCCCGAGGAAGAGAGTTAAAGACCCCAGGCCCCACTCCTGCTTTGGATCCTTGCTTTGCACTGAAGACAGAGACCATGGTCCCCTTCCGCACAGCCATGTAACCCAGAATATCAAGGCAGAAATCCCACAATATTTGCTTTAACTGTGTTATCTGAATCTGCACTGTCATGTATTCCAGTTCAAAGCAGATAACATGGGATTTTATTCGGCTGTGTGGTAGGGGTCTGTGTGGCTCATTGGTAACAGGAAGAGGAAAGGGATTGGAACTTGTTCAAGAGGGAAAGGTAGATACGTGCTCTCAGCAACCCCCAGATAAGTCAAGTTTATTAGTGAAGGAAGGGAGAGAGAAGGAAAAGGTCTCCCAAATGACACCCACAGGAGAGTGAGTAAGAGAGTAACATTTAGAAGAGTCACAGGGGCATTCGGTGGAGGAATGCTCAGCTTCCCTGACTAGGCGTCTTTTAAAGGTCAGGATGTGGCCCAGGGAAGGAGAGGAGTGCTGCCGTCCTGCCAGGAGGAAAGTCTGCCACCTGCAAATCTGTAAGAAACACTTAAGGAGTGCATGGGGCACAGCTCCATGAAGAAGCTCAGCGTTCAGCCCCAAAGGGCTGCCAGGGTGCCCACACAAACAGGGTGTTCTATCCTTCCAATACAACCGGGGGGGGGGGGGCTTCCTGGGACTCCTCAACATTGAAGCATGTGAGGCTGACATGACTAGTTCTGCCCATCGACTTGTGAATTTGCAGAGCTTGCTTGCCTCGTCTGCATTTTCAATCATGCAGCAAAAATGGCTCAGCACTCCACCATCAGTCGTGACCCTTTTGCAGGTTGGAGTGGGTTGTTTACTCTGTGAGCTCCCTTCCCTCCGTGGCTTTTTTTTTCATGCCAGGAACAACTTGAGAAACTGCAAGTGGCTTCTGGTGTGAGAGAATTGGCTGTCTACAAGGACGTTGCCCAGGGGATGGAGTCAACTAGCTTACTAAGGAGCCAACTAGCTTACTCAGTCTCGTCTTCTAAAGAAGTAAAAGGGTAAAAAAGTAAAAAAAAAATCCATGCAGCTACATTTTGCCTAAAAAGAAAGGCAAAATGTCTCCTCACTGGAAGGAAGAAAATGTAGAAGAGACAATAGCGGAGACTACATGGTCAACCCAAGGCATCAAAAGTTAAAAGAAGAAGTTCCCTCACAGAATTCCATTCCTACATATTCAAAGGAGCAAGAGAGACAATGCCCCCTTTTTTATGTCAGGAGCGACTTGAGAAGCTGCAAGTTGCTTCTGCTGTGAGAGAATTGGCTGTCTGCAAGGACGTTGCCAAGGGAATGCCCGGATGTTTGATGTTTCACCATCCTTGTGGGAGGCTTCTCTCATGTCCCCACATGGGGAGCTGGAGCTGACAGAAGGAGCTCAACCAACTCTCTCTGGACTCAAACCACTGACCTGTCAGTCAGCAGTCCTGACCCATTGATCACCAGGGGCTTCTCTGATTTCATAGTTTTGAGCCATGGCATTCAAAGTAGTCTCAAACTGCATTAATTCTACAGTGGAGATGCATCCACAGAGATTGATTGGGTTAGTAAGTTCACGTCATTTTTCCTACTCCCTCTTATTAGTTTTAGCCTAACAAATGCTTAGTGGCTGGTACCCCATTATTTTCCTCATATTCTTGCAGCACCGAACCCAAGGCAGCTTAGAAGAAATGTAAACAAAGTACAGTAGAGTCTCACTTTGCTCATTTAACATTCTGTATTATCCAGCCCAGTCTGCCTCCCACCTGGATCCACAGCTGTTTCAATACATTGCGATGTTTTGGTGCTAAATTTGATAATACAGTAATTGCTACATAATGTTATTGTGTATTGAATTGTTTTTTCTGTCGATTTGTTGTAAAACATGATGTTTTGGTGCTTAATTTGTAAAATCATAACGTAATTTTCCTTAATCCCTCCTTATTATCCAACATTTTTGCTTCTCCAACGTTCTACTGGCCCGTTTACATTGGATAAATGAGACTCTACTATACGTACAAAAGGGTGCATCTACACTGCAGAACAAATGCAGTTTTGACACCACTTTAACTGTTCTGGCTCAATGCTATTGAATCTTGGGAGTTGTTTGGTGAGGGACCAGCACAGGACCGGACTTTCCACTTTTGTTTGAAACTCTCTCCAAATTATCTGTCTGGGTCCAGCTTTTTTGGAATGTAAAGTGTTTTTGAGGGAATAGTCCTCAATGGAGAAAATATATTCCAGGGCTTTGCTGGGCCAGGATGCAAGGAGCGTGGCTGCCCATAAGCCTGAACATTTTCCCCTGTAGCTAATGTCTGGGGGCAGGTCTCCCTTGACAGGCAGGTGGAGGGGCTTGCAGAGAGTGAGGAGGGGTACCTGCTGTCTGCTGAGGTGGAGGGTGTGGTCCGTCCTCTGAGGCAGCCAGAGCCTCCAGCGCCTGAAGGGTGGAGACCAGGGCATCGTCCAGGTCCTGTGCGTGATCCTCGACTGTCCTGGGCTGCACGCTGTCGATGAGCGTCACTGGGATCTCGTCGTAGAGGATCCCACAGAGGTGCCTCCCAGGCTCCTTATTCTGTGCTGCTGCTGCCGCCGCCGCCGCTGCCGCCCGCCGCTTGGACTCATCCTCATCGGAGCTGTTGTCCCGGAAGCCCGGTGGCGGGGCAGCAATGGCTGGGAGGAGGGCAGTGGTCTCGTCCTCCTCATCCTCCTCGTCGCTCCCAGGCGGAGGGAGGGACGTCAGGTCCACTGCTGTGTTGCTCTCGATGGGGGGCACCAGGGTTGCCACCTTTGCGAGAGGTGGAGGGGGCAGATGAGGCAGCAGTGCTGGCCCCCCGCCCTCCCTTGACTTTGGCTTTGCAAGAATCGCAGAAGAATTGGACAGAGCGGCGGCGATGGCCGTGATGGCCGTCCATGGTGTGTGCGCGTGCGCGGTTGGCCCGGCGCTCTCGATCCAGGCCGTCCGGGTCGTAGTCCTGGGGGGCTCCCTCACAATCCGTCCCGGAGCTCTTGGGGGTGGGGTCCGACTTGGTCCGAGGCCGGGACTCCTCGAAGAAGATCAGGTTTTCATTGATGTCCGTGGCCCGGCTCTTGTGCTCCTTTCTCTGCTCCCGCATGTGCAGGTAGCAAACGCGGACGAGCTCCGGGTCCGGAGCCACGGGATCTCGGGGGCTGCGATCGACGATGGGGCCGGGGACAGCGACACCCAGGAACCCGCTCTCTTTCTTTCCCAGGTGCCCCGTGGGGAGAGACCGGTGGCTAGTAGGCAGCGCGTTGGGGTGATCTGAAGAGGAAAGGGAAGGATGGATGGGGAGTTAGGACTTCACTAGGCCCAAAGAATGCTTCCTACCTCCTGCTCAATGGGGTGACTTGGGGGGTGGCAGCAGGGTTATTCTCTCCCCCTGCCATGCATGCACACCTCTCTCTCACACACACACCTGATCAGTAGGCTTGGGCAATCCATGATTCTAAATGGTTCTAAAGTACTTACAAAACTAAAGTTCTGGTGGTGAAAATTTCAGAACTCTAACAAAACTTTCAAAATTTAATTATTATTTCATTATTGGTGATTTTAATGACAGAACCAATTAGGAACTGCCATTTATTATGAAATTTTGAGAGTTTTGTTAGAGTTCTGAAATTTTCACCACCAGAACTTTAGTTTTGTAAGTACTTTAGCCATGCATGCACACCTCTCTCTCACACACACCTGATCAGCTCTAAACACTCCCTTTCCCCAAGCAAAGTTACTCTCCCATACTTTCCAGGTACAAAAGGGGTGAATGTGGCACTGTTCCTGTTGGGGAATCTGACCTGTTAGACTCAAAAATAACCCTCAGTTAGGGTGATTCCACCATAAATATAGCAGAGTACGAGAAGTAAACTTCAAAACCAGCAGGAACTTACGTGTGGTGATGTGGGATAAGCTTTCTCTTCTTAGGGTGGGTCAGGATCGCAGAGTCAGAACTTTAAGTTCAAAAATATTTATTGGAGTGAAAGAAATACATTCTAGATAGAAAAGGTCTTGGAGCTGACTAACTTAACAAGTCTCTTCTAAGAAAGGTAAAAAGTCATAAAATCCATGCAGCTACATTTTGCCTAAAGAGGGAGGCAAAATGTGCATCCTCACTGGAAGGAAGGAAAGGCAGAGAAGAGACTGGAAAATGGCGAATGGCCACATGACCAAGCCCAGGTCAATAAAAATACATTTTAAAAGGGAGTCCCCTCACAGAGACTCCATTGCTACATCTTTAAAGGGGGAGGAGGAAGAGTAAAGACAAAGTCCTTTTGGGAATCATGCATAGGAATGTGGAGGATGAATCCCTTAGCCTAAGCCTATCTCTATCTTCTCATTGAGGTCTGGAGACTTGATGACCCAAGAGACTTGTGCAGTCCAGGGATGAAACCCAACAGTTCCAATCAATGTGTGGTCGAGACGCCATTTAAATCCACAAGAAGCATGTGGACAATTTCAGCAGAAAGGAGGAAACCATGTAAATGATCAAAATCTGGTTACCAGTATTTTAAAAAACCCCTCTAAAATAAAAACATGAACTAAAGAACAACACTAAAAAACAGGGGAATTCTAGACAAGAAACAATCAAGGCCAGCTAATCACCTCCCAACAAAGGATTCCCCGACAGGAAGCAGCTAGACCTTGAAACTGCAATGATATTAAATGCTAATCAAAGTGGCCAATTGCAACATTCACACCTCAAAGGAGCCCCCAGTGGCACAGTGGGTTAAACCCCTGTGCCGGCAGGACTGAAGACCGACAGGTTGCAGTTTCGAATCCGGGGAGAGACAGATGAGCTCCCTCTATCAGCTCCAGCTCCTCATGCAGGAACATGAGAGAAGCCTCCCACAAGGATGATAAAAATATCAAATCATCCGGGCGTCCCCTGGGCAACGTCCTTGCAGACGGCCAATTTTTTCACACCAGAAGCGACTTGCAGTTTCTCAAGTCGCTCCTGACACGACAAAAAAAAAACTTGCCTCAAACAGACAAGAGTTCTTTCTCCCACCCTGGACATTATTCCACAGATATATAAACCCCATTTTCCTAGTTTCCAACAGACCTCACAACCTCTGAGGATGCCTGACATAGATGTGGGTGAAACGTCAGGAGAGAATGTGACCGGAACATGGCTATACAGCTAAGAAAACTCACAGCAACCCAGTTCCAATCAGGCTTGGACGGGGCTTCCACGACTGCCTCCCAAGCACACATTTTTCGAAAATGGCCATGGAAGGGGTGGGGTCTCCCTGACCCTTGGAAAGAGTGTTGTTGGGTGCTTCTAACCACTCAGTTCCCCCACTAGTGGCAAGGCTTTGCAGTGCTGAATGTATGAATAGCTTCCCGTGGGCATGTGACTGCTTCTCCGGCTTTTGGAACCAGGGGAATCTCAGCATCTGTATTCTGCTGAATGTTAGAGGAGCAGAATTATGCATGTGATGCCACCGACCACATACGTGCGCACGGTTGTTTATTATCTGCACATTTGCATGATTCACAGCCTCCCAGCTCTGCATTGGGGTGGAATTGTGCAACCAGGGTGCAACTCTATAAGCACCATCTGACTCTACATTCTTCTGGGGCAGGATCCCCCCACTCCACACACCCACACAGCAACTCCCCTTTGGATTGGTGTCCCTCCAGCCACATTGTTGGTGAGGGGCAGAAAGGAGCCAGGGGAAGCAGGGACTTTTTTTTCTGCCCATGTAATTTTTTTGGGGGGTGGGGTATTCTGGCCGAACCACCTCCCCCATCATCCCCGGCTGAGCACCACTCTTGGGGCAGAAGGAGGAGGCGGTGGCAGCAGGGCAAAGAGGAGAGGCTGAAACGTACCTGCCTTGATAAGGGGTGTTGGTGGGGGCTGGCTGGGCTGTCGGGCAAAGACCATCGTCCTCTTGGAGTCCAGCAGGAGGCGGCAGTACCCGGCAATCAGGCAGGCGAAGTTGGTGGCCTCCGGCCATTCCATCAAAAGCACCAGCGGCTAGGAAGGGAAGATGGAGAAGCCATCAGAAGCAGAGCCGGGAAGCAGGCAGCAGGAGAGGAGGAGGCGGGAAAGGAGGGATGCAATGCCACCTGAGTCCCTGGAGGAGGGCACCAATCTGGCTGCTGCGCGGAGGAAGGAGGGAGGGAGGGAGGGAGAGGGAGGGAGGGGGCGGGAGAAAGGCAAGTTGCAGGGCCTTTTGGGGATACAGAGCAGTAGTGGTGGGGGTCCGAGGGGGGGAGGGAGATGGGGTTCCAGGGAGAGTTGAAGGGCTAGGCTTGACCCAACTTTCTGATTTGGCAAAATGGGAAAGGAGGAAGAGAACAAGGTTCCCAATGCTCAGGAGAGCTTCACCAGATCACCCAATTCATCCCACTCCAGAAGACAACACGCAGAGGCAGCCCTAGGTCATTTTCAATGGTTTTTTTTTTTTTTGGTCATGTCAGGAGCAACTTGAGAAACTGCAAGTCGCTTCTGGTGTGATGTTTTATCATCCTTGTGGGAGGCTTCTCTCATGTCCCCACATGAAGAGCTGGAGCTGGTAGAGGGAGCTCATCCGCCTCTCCCCGGATTCGAACCTGCAACCTGTTGGTCTTCAGTCCTGCCGGCACAGGGGTTTAACCTACTGCGCCACCGGCAGCTCCATTGTCAATGGTAAACAAACTGTATTTTGCCCCCCCCCCCCCAAAACCAATCTTCTGTATATATAAAAATGCTCTGTGCATAATGAGAACCTTAAAAACAAAAGAACCAATGAACGAAATCACACCAAATTTGGCAACAAAATGTCTCACAACACAAGGAGTGACCATCACTCAAAAAATTAGGATTTTGTCATTTGGGAGTTGAGTTGTTGGGATTTATAGTTCACTTATAATCAAAGAGCATTCTGAACTCCACCAACAATGGAAGAGCTTCTCTTCTTGCCTTTCTTTTTAGGCAAAATGTAGCTGCATGGAGTTTTGAGTTTTTACCCTTTTACTTCTTTAGAAGATGAGACTTAGTAAGCTAGTTGGCTCCAAGACCTTTTTCTATCTAGAATGTATTTCTTTTACTTCAATAAATCTTTTTGAACCTAAAGTTGAGACTCTGCAATCCCGTGCCATCCTAAGAAGAGAAGCTTATCCAAGCTCACCACACTTAAGTTTCTGCTAGTTATGAAGTTTACTTCTGGTACTCTGCAATATTTATGGTGGAATCACCCCAACTGAGGGTTATTTCTGAGCCGAACAGCTCAGATTCCCCAACAATCCACCCATTCTCTCTCCCCCCCCCCCCCCCCCCCCCGACTCCAAAGGATTCTTGGACTAGTTATCTGCTTCGCACAGTGCATACTTGCCCCCCTCCCCAGCAATAGGGCAGGCTTTCTCCTTGCGTCCCTGACTGCCCCCTCTTCCTCATTGGCTTTGCTTTCCCAGTGCTTGGCCAGTCCAGTGCTTGGCCAGTGGGGAGGGGACCAAAGAGACCCACCCCCCATCAATGCCGAGGGAGCTTCTCTTCTTGCAAACAGGATGCAGTCAGTGTGGAGAGGGGCTGCTGGTAGACCTACCTTGGCATCCAGGATGCTGGTCTCTACCCGCGCCACCCCCTGGTTTTCCCGGAAGAGCTGGATCTTGCTGACTTTGCTGAATTCGGACAACACAGTTGTGAGGTTGGTTTTCAGGTCTATGACGTGGCTGATGCCATGGCGGGGGCCCACCAGGAGCGTGGTGGCCGGCTGCTTCTCATCCTGTGGGAGGCCAATGGGAAGGGTTAGGCAGGGTTAAGGGACAGTCACAGTTTTCACAGTTTAATACACTTTTTCCATGTTTTTATGATAAAGCCAATTAGGACATGACATGTATAACCCAGGAACGAAATTCATGTTATGTAATGCTATGGATTCTTGCCGACAGGCTGGGTGCCAAGTGGGCAGAAGGACTCTGCCCTAAGGAGCTGCTGTGGTTCAGAGCAGGGTATGTGGCATCCCTGAGCATCCCCACTTCAAACAGTGGCCAGGCCCAGGGCTGGAAATCCTGGCCACTGCGTGTGACCCCGTGTGTGTGTGTGTGTGTGTGTGAGCAGAAAGTGGGGCTGCAATAGTGCCTGAAACCCTGCAAAATGAAGAAAGGAGGAAGGAAGGCAGGAGGAAGCATGGCTGGAGATTTGGGAGGCAAGAGGAGTGTGTGTGTATGTGGGGGGGGGGGTGCTTAGCTGGCCTAAGACCCTGCTCTATGAGAAGTGCAAAGGGCAAGACATGCATTGGGGTGTTTTGTGGTTTCCATTCTGTATGGCCATGTTCTAGTAGCATTTTCTCCAGATGTTTCATCTGCATGTGTGGCTGGCATCTTTAGAGATCTGATGGTAGTAATGGAAGTGGAGTGTATATATGTGTGGTGGGAGAAAACCCATTGTCTGTGAAACTAGTGCAAAGGGGTACAAATAGCACACTATATTTTTATGTGTTGAATGGGATCCACCAATTTGCATGTGAGTAACCATGAAAATTGCATAGTCAATTAGTGAGGGCATCTGCATAGAATTCAGAAAGGTATGAAGGCCAGGCTACTTCTATGCAGAATCAAGACAGCTTTTGTGTGTGTGTGTGTGATGAGTGACTTGAGAAACTGCAAGTCACTTCTGGTGTGAGAGGATTGGCCATCTGCAAGGACGTTGCCCAGGGGATGTTTTACAATACTGTAGGAGGCTTCTCTCATGTTCCCACATGAGAAGCTGGAGCTGACAGATGGGAGCTCACCCTGCTTCCCATTTTAAAACCGCCGGCCTTTCGGTCACCAGTCCTGCCAGTACCAGGGGCTCTATCAAGACAGTGACTAATGAACACCACCCAGACACAGGAGGTCTCCAGGCAGCAAGCAATCAAGGGCTAGTAAACGCCACCCAGACAAAGGATGTCTCCAGACAATAGGGAACAAAGACCAGGCCACTTCTAGGCAGATGCCCTCATTAATTGACCATGCTATCTTCATGGTTATTCATACGGTAATGGGTGGGTCCCACTCAACACATGCAAATCAAGCTTGCCAATTGCACTCGATTGCACTAGTTAACAGACAATGGCTTTTTTCTCCAACCAGAACATTCCACAAGTATATATGTTGTTGTATTGTCGAAGGCTTTCATGGCCGGAATCACTGGGTTGTTGTAGGTTTTTCCGGGCTATATGGCCATGTTCTGGAGGCAATTTTTCTCCTGACGTTTCGCCTGCATCTATGGCAAGCATCCTCAGAGATAGTGAGGTCTGTTGGAAGTAGGAAAAATAGGTTTATACCTGTGGAATGACCAGGGTGAGACAAAGGACTTTTGTCTGCTGGGGCTAGCTGTGAATATATGTTGTTGTTCATTCATTCAGTCACTTCTGACTCTTCTGACTTTTCGTGACCTCATGGACCAGCCCACGCCAGACCTCCCTGTTGGCCGTCACCACCCCCAGTTCCTTCAAGGTCAATCCAGTCACTTCAAGGATGCCATCCATCTTTCCCTTGGTCGGCCCCTCTTCCTTTTTCCTTCCATTTTCCCCAGCATTTCCTGTCTTCTCACGATGTGGCCAAAATACTTCATCTTGGCCTCTAATATCCTTCCCTCCAATGAGCAGTCGTATATACACTCCAATGTATTGTTGGCTGGGTTGTTGCAGGTTTTTCGGGCTGTATGGCCATGTTCTAGAAGCATTCACTCCTGATGTTTCACCTGCATCTGTGGCAAGCATCCCTAGAGTTGTCTATATATACTCCACTTGCTTGACGACCATCAGAGCAGATCTCTGGAGATGCCAGCCACAGATGCAGGCGAAACAGCAGGAGAAAATGCTGCTAGAATACAGCCAGACAGTCCAGAAACCACACAACACCCCAGTGATTCCGGTCGTGAAAGCCTTCAACAATACTGTAAGACACGCATTGCAAGTTCCCCAGTCTCCCTCATTGCTTCTTTGGCTCCAATGACCGTACCAGTCCCACGGTGTTGAAGAGGACGCCCGCAAAGGTTGGCAGCTCATTCAGGATGCGCAAGTACTGGAGCTTTGCTTGGGTTGTGGAGACCTGCAGAGGAGACACATCAGGGGGGTGCAAGAGTAAGCCATTCCCTGTCCTTGGAGGGCAGGGCCTTCCATGCTCAGTGGGGGATTAAGCCATTGAGGGACAACATGGTGGAGAGGGGCTGGGTTGGGGGGGGGGTTGCATAGAGAAGGAGAGGTGGAAGGGATCTCGGTTGTTTCCTTCTTACAGCGGAAAGAACTGCCCCCCCCCCCCAATAAAAACAGAGCAAGAATTGCCAGTATGTTCTCGAATGCCTTCAAAAGCCACTGCTCAGAATGAATCAGTGGAGGGGAAATTAGCTCAAGACTTTGATGTTGTGACAGGTACATTTTTCATAGTAGATCAGCCTATTAAATTTATCTTAAGACATAGAAATTGCAATAGATTAAGTGTAAACTCTTTCAGGTGCCTTTTGATCCACATTTCAGTCTTAATTATCTCAAGGGATGTGGATGACAGAGCAAGGCAGCGCATAGAAGGATGTGTGTTGAGGGGGGGGACCTTTGGGTGCTAAACAACAAAGGCTTTTGGTGGGTGAGGCTTTTGTTGTTGTTTTCTCTGTGGCACTGTTAACTAGCGAGTCCTTCCCCGAATCGTTGCTCTGTCAATGAGGATGGGGTGCATTGGGATGATGAGGAAGCGCATGGTGCATCTTGCCTTGGTGCCGCAGGGCGGCTGGTTCTGGTGGGCCTTCAGCTGCTGGGAGAGGGACTTCCGCAGGCTCTTGTCCTTGATGCCCTGCAGCAGCGAAGGGGGCAGGAAGGGCTCCAGGCCCCACTCCTTCCTAGAAAGAGTGAGAGGAGCAGCCTCAGCACCCATGGAAGAGAGGGGCCAGGATCTAGGGGCTTCTTTTGGGCCCCAAAATGTCTGTCTACCCCCTCCCTGCTCGTCCCTATGACCAAATGGCCCCATGGCACTGCAAGCCTGGCCTCCCTCCCTCTCACTCACTAGCACAAAAGGAAGGAAGCCCAGCAAGACTCACTCGACGTTTTTGAGGGAGACCTTCTGGCTGGGGCGCGTGGCAGAGACAGTGATGTAAATGTGGAGGGCGGTCAGGCCCAGCAGCATCTCCGGCTTCGGCTCCATGCCGAACCGCTCCCGGATCACGTCGTTCCGGCTCTAGTGGAGAGGCAGAGAGAGCCGGTCAGAGCCTGAGTAAAATGGAGGACTCCCACCCACTTCTGCTTCTCCTTGGATCTTCGTCCTCTCTGTTACTCTACCTATCCTCTTTGATGCCTCACTCGTCCGCAGGAATAGCTGAGTGGCTCTGACCACTCAAAGGTGGCTGGCTGGCATCAAAGGAGGGACTTGCCCAAAACACATAGTCTTGTTGCCAAAGCAATAATAGCCACAATAGATAGATCAGTGTTTCTCAACCTGGGGGTCGGGACCCCTGAGGGGGTCACGAAGGGGTGTCAGAGGGGTCACCAAAGACCATAAGAAAACACAGTATTTTCTGATGGTCATGGGGATTCCATGTGGGAAGTTTGAGCCAATTCTATCGTTGGTGGAGTTCAGAATGTTCTTTGGTTGTAATGAACTATAAATCCCAGCAACTACAACTCCCAAAAGTCAAGGTCTATTTTCCCCAGGCTCCACCAGTGCTCACATTTGCGCATATTGAGTATTTGTGCCAAGTTTGGTCCAGATCCACCATTGTGTGAGTCCACAGTGCTCTCTAGATATAGGTGAACTACAACCCCCAAACTCAAGGTCAATACCCACCAAACCCTTCCAGTGTTTTCCGTTGGTCATGGGCATTCTGTGTGGCAAATTAGGTTCAAATCTACTGCTGGTGGAGTTCAGAATGCTCTTTGATTATAGGTGAACTATAAATCCCAGCAACTACAACGCCCAAATTACATGTGGGTGCATTGGGTATTTCTGCCCAGTTTGGTCCAGTGAATGAAAATACATCTTGGATATCTGATATTTACATTATGATTTATAACAGTAGTAAAATGACTGTTATGAAGTAGCAACAAAAACAATGTTATGGTTGGGGGTCACCACACTATGAGGAACTGTATTCAGGGGTCGCGGCATTAGGAAGGTTGAGAAACACTGAGATAGATGCATCCAGAAAGGAGGGCTGCCCAGAGGATGTTGGGGTAGGCACGGCATTGGGGTGCCTCTGGGGGCAGGAAATGCCCCACCCCTGCAACCAGTTGGGTTTCATCCCTAGACTGCACAAGTCTCTTGTGTCATCAAGTCTCTAGACATCAGTGAATAGCTAGACTAGAGATAGGATTAGGCTGAGGGATTCCTTTCCTATATCCTATGCATGTGTTTACCAAAAATGGCTTTGTTTAGCCTCCTCTTCCTTTCCAATGTCCATTTGAAGATGTAGTAATGGGATATCTGTGATGTAACTTCCTTTTTAAAAAGGATTTTTATGGCTCTTGGCTTGGCCATGTGGCCATTTTCCATTTTCCTTCTTTTGCCTTTTTCTCCCTTTCAGTGAGGATGAATTTTGCCTCTCTTTCTAGGTAAAATGTAGCTGCATGGATTTCCCCCCTTTTTACTCTTTTTACCTTTCTTAGAAGATGAGACTCAGTAAGCTAGTGAGCTCCAAGACCTTTTCTATCAAGAACGTACCGTATATACTCGAGTATAAGCCGACCCGAATATAAGCCGAGTCACCTAATTTTACCACAAAAAACTGGAAAAACATATTGACTTGAGTATAAGCCGAGGGTGGGAAATGCAACCGCTACAGAGAAATTTCAAAATAAAAATAGATACCAATAAAATTACATTAATTGAGGCATCATCATCATCATCATTTTATTACTTATTAATTGCCCTCCATCCAAGATGCTCCAGGTGATTTACAGGCCAAAATTGCAAAGGATAAAATATATATATATATACAGAGATGAAATGTTTTTGAATATTTATATAAAACTGTAATTTGAGATAAGACCGCCCAACTCTGATTAAATAATTATTATAATCTTCAACTTACGTATCCTTCCAACAATAATAGAGTAAAATAATAAGTGTAATAATAATAATAAAGTAAAATAATGGAAATACAATAATAACAGTAATAATAGAATAAAAGAATAAATGCAATAATAAAATAAAATAATAAATGTAATAATAACAGGGTGAAATACTGTAAATGTAATAATACTAAAGAGTATGTAAAATAATACATGAAATAAAAATAATACTAATAACAGAGTAAAATAATGAATAACCTTGACTTGAGCATAAGCCGAGGGGAGCTTTTTCAGCCTAAAAAAGGGGCTGAAAAATTAGGCTTATACTCGAGTATATACAGTATTTCTTTTACTTCAATAAAGTCTTCTGAACCTAAAGTTCTGACTCTACAATCTGGTGCCATTCTATGAAGAGAAAATTTTATCCTAACTTGCCACACATATGTTTCTGCCAGTTTTGAAGTTTGCTTCTGGTACTGTGCTATATTTATGGTGGAATCACCCCAAATGAGGGTTATTTTTGAGCATAACAGCTCAGATTCCCCAACATGCCCAAAACGCCCATGGTCTTGTTGCCAAAACAATAAGAGCCAGAATTGACAGATGCATCCTGAAAAGAGGGCTGCCCAAGGGATGCTGGGGTAGGCTCAGGATTGGGGTGCCTCTGGGGGCAGGAAAAGCCCTTCCCCTGCAACCTACTCCCTCTCTTCTCACCTGGATGTAGAGGTACTCAAAGGCGGCTGGGTCCCTCCGGAGCAGCTCCACTGGCTCCTTGGGGAAGAAGCTGACGCGGAAGAGGCATCGCATGCCCTGGTAGTGGGTTCTCTGCACCACCTGGAAAGACACAGGATGAGAGAGTGGCAGGTGGGTCATGGAACAGCATTCTCTGAGTCAGGAGGGGAGGCCTTGGGGGACGTTTCCAGGGTCTAGATCCTCTCCTCAGGGGCCCACAGACAAGAAGAGCAGTCATGGAGCCCAGGACAGAGGCACTGCCCTCATGGCAGGAGACCTGCCTGTTGGGTTTCATCCCTGGACTGCACAAGTCTCTTGTCTCATCAAGTTTTCAGACCTCAATGAGTAGCTAGACTAGAGGGATTCCTCTCCCCACATTCCTATGCATGTTTACCAAAAGGGCTTTGTCTTTACTCTTCCTCCTTTGCCACTGCCTCCTCCCCTTCTGATGATGTAGTAATGGAATTCTGTGAGGGAACTTCCTTTTTTAAAGGTATTTTTGTGACCCTGGGGTTGACCATATGGTCCTCACTATTGTTCTCTTCTGCCTTTTCTTCCTTCCAGTGAGGATGCATTTTGCCTCTCTCTAGACAAAATGTAGCTGCATGGACCCTTTCTTACTTTTTACCTTTTTTTATTGCCATGGGGTGGCCATATGCCATTTTCCACTGTTTTGCTTTTCTTTCTCTCTATGAGGATGCACATTTTGCCTATATTTGGGCAAAATGGGGCTGCATGGACGTTTTACTCTTTTACCTCATTAGAAGGTGAACTTGTTAGCTCCAGGACCTTTTTTTTTTTTATCAAGAATGTATTTCTTTTACTTTAATATATATTTTTGAACCTAAAGTTCTGACTCCGCAATCCTATGCCATCCTAAGAATAGAAAGCTTATCCCAGTTCCACCACATGTACGTTTCTGCTGGTTATGAAGTTTACTTCTAATGGGTGGGCGTTCAAAAACATGGGCAACAATGTTTTTTTCAGCTTTGCTTCCCCCTCAAGACCCGGCTGCTTACGTGGGCCAGTGGCTGCTTGTCTTGAAGCAGAAGGAACTTGTGGCTCTGCTCGGGACTGGAGTACTCCAGGACCAGCGAGAAGTGCTCAATGTACCTCAGGGAAAGCCGGTCCTGCAGCGTCATCATCACGTCCTGGTGACACAAAGAAAAGGAAGTGGGGGTGCGCCCAAAGTAGGAGGCAGCCCCAGTGTGATCCCAGGGGACTGCCTCTTGGCAGGGGGTTGGACTGGATGGCCCATGAGGTCTCTTCCAACTCTTTGATTCTATGATTCTATGACCCCAGGAGGGATGGGGAGAGGAATTCACCAGGCAAACCCAATTATTTATTTATTTACTCTATTTGTATCCCACCTTTCTCTACCTTGAAGTGCACTCAAGGTGACTTTACATATGGCAACTATTCAATGCCTTTGGACAACAAGCAGAATACACTTAAGTTAAAAAATGAAAATGAAAATCAAATGCACATTAAAACATATAAAACATTAAAATCACACCATCCTCAATCATAATCCAGGGCTGTTCCAAAGAACAACTGCATGTATTTCGAGGCTATAGACTCATCTCCAAAGGCTTGACCCCAGAGGCAGGTTTTCACTTTCCTTCTGAAGGCCAGGAGGGTGGGAGCTGCTCTAATATCATTGGGGAGGGAGTTCCACAGTCAAGGAGCTACCACTGAGAAGGACCTGTCCTTTGACCCGACCAGACACACCTGCAAAGGAGGTGGGACTGAGAGCTGGGCCTCCCCAGAAGATCTTAGCGCTGAGATGGCTCATATGGGGAGATACATTTGGACAGGTAAGCTAGGCCAGAACCATTTAGGGCTTTATGGGCTTAAGCCAGCACTTTGAATTGTGGTCAGCAGCAGACTGGCAGCCAGTGGAGTTGACGCAACAGAGGGGTTGAATGCTCTGGTGAACAATCTGGCTGCGGCCCGTTGAATTACTTGAAGCATCCAAACAGTCTTCAAAGGTAGCCCCATGTAGAGCATGTTGCAGTAGTCTATTTGAGATGTAACCAGAGTGTGGACTACAGTGGCCAAGTCTGACTTCCCACGGTATGGGCAACTGGCGCACAAGACTTAGAGGATGGAGAGCCCCTCCTCCGGCACTTGCCTACCTTGACCGTGGTCCGGCCATCGAAGGTGAAAGACTTGATCTGCCCGTTCTCGAGGAAAACCTTCAGAACGTTGGGGATGAGGAGCAGGGCCTCCTTCTTCAGCATGTCCTGCAAAGGGAAGGGAGGCATCACAACAGGCACAGGGCCCCAGAAATCCAGGGGCTACCAAAGCACCAGTGAGGCCAAATGCGGCACAGCGGAGGCATCCAAGGCGGGCAAACAGGAGGAAGGCAGCTGGGTGGTGGCAGTGTGAGCACTTGACTGTCATTTAACACTAGCTTTCCCCTTGCAAATGAGGGGCTGCTCAGCCCAGTGAGAGGTTAGGTTTAGCAGCACTACCTCCCCTCTTTGCCAGCGGAGGAGAGCACACTCAATTTCTCCCATTGGGAGGGCTGTCCTGCCTGGGCCAGAGGGGTCTCACTGGGTGACTGGGTGACAGGGGAGGCACTGAGCCAAACAGGAGGCTGGCACACAGCAAGGCAGCTGCTGAGCCTGGGTGGAGGGCAGCTTTGACTGGGAGCGGAGGGGTGCACTCACTGGATCCGTCTCGCCAATGGTGACCTGTTCCGAAAAGCGAACCTTCACAGGATTGGAGCGCAGCTTTGCCTTCTTGGCAGCGCTGATGAAGGCAGACTTTGGGGACTGGAAGAGAAGGTAGAGTCACATTACCTCCGGTGCTGGATAGAGGACTACCCCATGGATGCATATCAAAGGAATCCCCCCTCCAAAAAAAAAAAACCCTACTTCTGGAATGGCCCTGGTCTTGCTGGTGTCCAAAGGGAAGAGAAGAGGAGCTACCCGCTGCCTGAGCCTGGCCACCACCGGCTTTGCTCAACCCTGCAGTTTAATCCTTCTCCTTAAAGAGGATGGGAAAATTCTCACCCCGCCATTGATCCCTTTTGCCAGGATCAAAAGGTTCACCAAAGCAGAAACGACAGCGGATCTTCATTGCTGGCGGTGTGACAGTTCAATCCGTTCTGCTTCTTTTGGTTCTGGAGAACCCATGCCCCCGGCTCTGTTTGCTGGCACTGAATGCCAATGCTGTCAGCTAGTGCCACTCTGGGGTGGGGAGCCCTTCCCCAGGGCCACTGGCAGAGCCAGTCAGAAGAGCCCCCTCAAGCCCCCCCCCCCCATACACATGTGCACAGCAATAGAAGCAATTCTGCCTTCACTTGCCCTCGATGCCTCATTCTGTGCTCTGGCCAAGGCAGAGGCTTCCTGCTAAAGGAGTGCAAGGAACAGACAGGGAGCCAGTGGAGCCGACATTACGGGGAATTGAATGCTCCTTGTACACCGCTCCAATGATCAACTTGACTGCAGTCCGCTGGACCATTTGAAGCTTCCGAACAGTCTTCAAAGGCAACCCCACGTAGAGCATGTTGCAGTAGTCTATTCAAGATGTAACCAGCGTGTGGACTACAGTGGCCAAGTCTGACTTCCCAAGGTATGGGCAGCTGGTGCACAAGCTTGGAGGGTGGAGAGCCCCTTCGGTACTTGCCTACCTTGACCGTGGTCAAGGGGAGCGTTCCTTCCCTTCAGCCCTGCTCAGGACCCCAAAGGAGCAGCCAAACCAATTCTCCCCATTCCAGTTAGGAAGACTCTTCAACCAAGGAATCTGTCCAGGAAAATACACCTGTCTCGGCCTTGCATTAACCAGGTTGGGTTTCATTCCTGGACTGCACAAGTCTCTTGTGTCATCAAGTCTCCAGTCCTCAATGAGTAGCTAGTCTACAGATAGGATTAAACTCAGGGATTCCTTTCCCCACTTTACCATGCATGTTTTCCAAAAGGGCTTTGGCTTTCCTCCTCCTGCTAGCCATTGTCTCCTCTCCCTTTGAATATGTAGGAATGGAATTCTGTGAGAGAACTTCCTCTTTTAAGTTTTATTGCCCTGAGTTGACCATGTGGTCCCCGTCAATGTCTCTTCTACCTTTTCTTCCTTCCAGTGAGGGCGCATTTTGCCTCTCTCTATAGGCAAAATGTAACTGCATGGATTTTGGACTTTTCCCCCCTTTTACTTCTTTAGAATGTGAGATTTAGTAAGCTTGTTAGCTCCAAGACCTTTTCTTTCTAGAACAGTGGTTCTCAATCTGTGGGCCGTGGACCAGCAGTGGGCCATGAGAACAGAAATCCAGTCTGCGAACCTCCTTTCTCTTTATTTATTTTATTTTATTTATTTTCACTCTTTTCTGCAGAGTTAACCAACTCTGCGCCTTTTGGTACTAATGCTGGAGAGTGGTCCCTGGTCAAAGTAGTCCTCGGTCAAGTACTCCCTGTTCAAGCGGTCTCTGGTTGGGGAGACTTGCTCAAAGTGGGCCCTGGTCAAAAAAAGTTTGGGAATCTGTTCCCTGGTCAAAGTAGTAGAGTGGTCCCTGGTCAAGTGGTCCCTGGTCAAGTGGTCTCTGGTTGGGGGGACCTGCTCAAAGAGGGCCCTGATAAAAAAAGTTTGGGAATCACTAATTTAGGATGTATTTCTTTTACTTCACTAAATACTTTTGAACCTAAAGTTCTGACTCTGCAATGCTGTGCCATCCCAACAAATAGAAGTTTATCCCACTTTCACCACATGTAAGTTTCTGCTGGTTATGATGTTTACTTCTGGTACTCTGCTATATTTATGGTGGAATCATCCCAACCGAGGGTTATTTTTGAGCCTAACAGCGTAGATTCCCCAATGCCAGATATTTTGTAGAAGCACCCGGAAGGACCAAAACGAACCCCCCCCCCCACCACCACCACCACCACCATTACTGATCACAGCTGTGAACCTCCTTGAGCTGCCAGATTTGAGTGATGCCAGCAAATCAGCATCTTGGCACTGCCACAGGGGATCAACAGACTGGGAGGTGCCCTTCTCCTCCTCCACCCCCCTCCACACACGTCCCAAAGTGGACCCTCACCTGATGAGTCTGCAGCACAGTGAGCACCACGGAGTCCTTGGCACCTCTGCAAGAGAAGAGGGGAGGAGAGATGGGGAGATTCCTGGTTGGTGGAGGCAGCTCCTGGCAGAAGCACCCAAACAGCATGGCAGCCCTTGGAGGAGCCCCCATGCAGTCCTCTGGTGCCCATTCATGGGTCAATGGTTGCTTTCGGGGCTTTTTTGGATGGGCTCACTTTTGGCATTAGGACCCCTGCAACCCACATAGAAGGCACATTTGCCACGATCCTTGGAAAGAGGGAATCCGGGGGCAACAGGATGGGTGGGGCCTGGCGGTATGTGCCAACCAACACATTTGCACACTCACAGCAACAGCCCTTGTCACCTGAAGGGCTTTCCTTACCTAACGAGTTCTATGAACCTCTCTCTGGGGGCATCACTCACGTCTTCCTCGTTTATGGCTAGGATCTGGTCTCCTGGCAAGAGCTTGTCCTCAGACGGCCCCCCTGCCAAAGAGAGGCCCATTCTGGGTAAGGAGTGTGCGTAAAGCCCCCATTGTGGGGTCTTCAGCTACACCTATGGTGTCTTTTCCCCTCAATAATATTTAATAGTCACTTTTCAATTGTTAAAACCCTCTTAACCACACCACCCATCACCCAGACCACATATTTCGTCTATATCATTAAACATGAGTACAATTTTCTTAGCTTCTGTACAATATTTACATTGGCTTCACTACTCTTCTTCAATTCCATATAAACCAGGCATGGGCAATATTGGGCCTGGCAGGTATTTTGGACTTCAACTCCCACAATTCCTAACTGCCTCAGGCCTTTTCCTTTTCCCCCTCAGCCACTTAAGGAAGCAGCCAAGCCTTGAAGCTGCAAGACTATTAAATGCAAATCAAGGTGGCCAATTGCAACATTCACACTTGCCTTAAGCAGACAAGAGTTCTTTCCTCCACTCTGGACATTATTCCACAGATCTATAAACTCAATTTTCCTAATTTCCAACAGACCTCACAACCTCTGAGGATGCCTGCCATAGATGTGGGTGAAACGTCAGGAGAGAATGCTTCTGGAACATGGCCATACAACCTGGAAAACTCATAGCAACCCAGATATTTTGAATAGTTTTCCCATTGTCTTCACTACACTCATGGTTTCTGATCTTCCTGCCATGTGCAGAAAAATAAGTGGCCCAGGCCCACCCTTGGCTCATATTTGTGCCCTCCATCTCATTTTTCCACCATACACCCGCATGCGTGTGCACACACACAGCGAGACCACAGGCCTACCTGGAATGACAGAGCGGACTACTACAGGTCTCTCGCTGCCAGCCACAAAGCCAAATCCGTAGAGCGGGTCACGCAAGATCTTCACCTGTCGGAGGGCATCTGAAGGCAGCTGGCCACATTCCATATCATCCCAGACCTCCTCTGGCATCACATGGCTGAGGAAGTGGAGGGCAGCCAGGAAAAGAAAAGAGAAAGCAGCCTCAGCATCAGGGTCCAGAGCAATATGGGTGGTCCAAGCCCCTGAGCCCCCTTCCCTCCTGAGCTTCTTGCAGCGGAGGAGCAGACCTGAATCAGCCGGGGCTCTGGCAACCCCAACTCCCCCCCAAAAAACCCCAACACTGCCCCCAGTGGACCTGGATGCCTCCTGTTAGAGCTAGTAAAAGAAAAGCTTTCCCTTTGACATTAAGTCTAGTTGTGTCCAACTGGGGGATGGTGCTCATCTCCATTTCTAAGCTGATGAACTGGCATTATCCATAGACACCTCCAAGGTCATGTGGCTGGCATGACTGCATGGAGCGCCATTACCTTCCCACCAGAGTGGTACCTCTCTTTTAACCATTACATGTAGCCTGCCCATTGTCATTGTGATTGTGCCTATTGTAATTTTATATTGCTATGTTTTCACATGTTTTATGTAATTTTGTTGTTGTTGTTTATTGTTTGCGTTTTCAGTTTTATTTTATTGTAATTTGTTTGGGCTTGGCCTCATGTAAGCCGCTCCGAGTCCCCAATGGGGAGATGGTGGCGGGGTATAAATAAAGATTATTATTATTATTATTGATTATTATTTTATTATTGATCTACTCATTTTGCATGTTTTTGAACTGCTAGGTTGGCAGAAGCTGGGGCTAATAGCTAGAGCTCAACCTGCTCCCCAGATTCAAACCACAGGCCTTTTGGTCTGCAAGTTCAGCAGCTCAGTGGTTTAACCCACTTCGCCAGGGGCTCCGTATAATGCAAGTAAAGGAAAGAACGGAGCCCCCGGTGGCACAGTGGGTTAAACCCCTGTGCCGGCAGGACTGAAGACTGACAGGTCGCAGGTTCGAATCCGGGGAGAGGCGGATGAGCTCCTCTATCAGCTCCAGCTCCTCATGCAGGGACATGAGAGAAGCCTCCCACGAGGATGATAACACATCAAAACATCCAGGTATCCCCTAGGCAACGTCCTTGCAGACGGCCAATTCTCTCACACCAGAAGTGGCTTGCAGTTTCTCAAGTCGCTCCTGACATGACAAAAAAAAACCCCATCAAAATGAAGTTTTAAGAAAGCTGGAAAAGACAGAAGGGAGGGGGAAGAATTGGGGGAGTTGAAAAAGAAAGCGGAAACTCTTTGCTTGTTAAAGCAACAGCACAACAGGAGCTTTAGATAGGCAATTGAGGGAGATGAAAGTAGGTGAAAGGGTTCAAAAGGACTTTGTGACCAGCAATGATGAGATAGAGCATTGAAGGGAAAACAAAGCTCAGCAGAAAGTGGGTGAGACAGGGAGAATGCAATCTACTGTGAAGCAGGGACAAGAACTAATAAGAGAGAACTGATAAGACGCACGTGAGAAAGACAAAGGAGTAGAAAAGTGTGAATGGGGGGGGGGGGAAGCTAGCGTGTGCATGTTTAGAAATGCTAGAGACCCCTACTATAAAAAGCTTGAGTTGCACCTCAGCATAGTGTAGCGTTTCTCAACCTGAGGGTTGGGACCCCTGTGGGGGGGGGGTCGTGAGGGGGTGTCAGATGGGTTGCCAAAGACCATCAGAAAGCAAAGTATTTTCTATTAGTCCTGGAGGTTCTGTGTGGGAAGCTTGGCCCAATTCTATCATTGGTGGGGTTCAGAATGCTCTTTGATTAAGGGTGAACTATAGATCCCAGCAACTACAACTCCCAAATGTCAAGGTCTATTTTCCCCAAACCCCACCAGTTTTCACATTTGGGCATATTGAGTATTTGTGCCAAGTTTGGTCCAGATCCATCATTGTTTGAATCCACAGTGCTCTCTGATGTAGGTGAACTACAACTCCAAAACTCAAGGTCAATGCCCACCAAACCCTTCCAGTATTCTGCCTCATACATCCCCAGTTTAATGACTAGCCTTGTTCCCTCCTTATTATAGAAGGATCTCACATTAACTTCAAGTAACTGGGTTGCCGGACAAGCACGACCATGCCACTTCATCACATTAGGCAGGGAAGTGTGCGGCAGAGCAGAGAAGAGCTCAGTCTTACTCAGTTTTTTAATGAATGTTTTCCCTATCTTCTATCACACTGTTAGATGTCTCTCAGTTTCCTTTCAGTATTCTTTCACTGCAGTTGCCTTCATGGGCCCTGCCCACCACCCTTCTCCCTGCTCATTGTTGAAAACCGGGAAGAAGGAGTGTTTGCTCTCTCTCTCTTCCTCCCTCTCTTGACTAAGAAAGGTGTGGACCTTGAAAAACTCTAACTCCCAGGACCACATAGTATGGAGCTTTGGTATTTAAAGTGGAGTCCAACATCATTCATTCCATACTGTAAATGCACCAAGAGAAGGGTATGGACCTTGGAAAACTATGACTCCCAGGACTGCACAGCATGGAGATATGGCATAATAATAATAATAATAATAATAATAATAATAATAATAATGACATTTAAAATGGGACTTGACTGCATTTATTCTCCAGTGCAGATGGGAAAAGAGAAAGGTATGAACCTTGGGAAACTATAATTTCCAGGACCACATAGTATGGAGCTATGGTATTTAAAGTGGGGTTCCAAGAACATTCATTCCATACTGTAAATGCACCAAGAGAAGGGTATGGACCTTGGAAAACTATGACTCTCAGGACTGCACAGCATGGAGATATGGCATAATAATAATAATAATAATAATAATAATAATAATAATAATAATAATGATAATGGCATTTAAAATGGGACCTGACTGCATTTATTCTCCAGTGCAGATGCGAACAGAGAAAGGTATGAACCTTGGGAAACTATAATTCCCAGGACCACATAGTATGGAGCTATGGTATTTAAAGTGGGCTCCAAGAGCATTCATTCCATAGTTAAATGCACCAGAGAAGGATACGGACTTTGGGAAACTATAACTTCCAGGACTGCACATCATGGAAACATAACATAACAATAATAATAATAATCATCATCATCATCATCATCATCATCCAGACATATCATGGAAGGAAGGGAAGGAAAGGACCCGGGAAAGGCTATTTTGAAAAAAGAAATTGTTCTGGCAAAGTAAAAACTTGGCAAGCAAAAGGTAATGCTTTCCCTAAGAAGGGTACTTTTGGCTCCTCCCACAAATTGGGGAAACCTTTTATTGTAAACCTGGGAGTAACTAATGCCATCACATTACAGAAATGGCCAAACATCCAGATGACTTCAAAAAATCCACTTCCCCACCATCTTATGAAATGTTATAAAAGAATGCTGGCCCGCACGCTTAAAATACGCAAAGAATGCTCTATCCTATACTTGAAGCTAAACCAATGTGATGACAACAATGGTTTTCCAGATTTTAAGTGTATCACTCAGTGGAATTTAGTCAATGTGATGAAGTGGCAAGTCAAGGTCTCCTGTGACTCTCCAGGAAAAGGTGAGGATGTTGGAAAAGTAGTAGGCAGTGGAGGAAAAAGGGGATTACAGGGATTGATCAACGGCATGGAATGGACGAATGAAGAGAACAAGGGCTGTTGTCTTGAGCTTACAAGACCAGAGCAGGACTGTGGATGGTCTCAGAGGATGCTCATTCATAGGGCTGAATTGAGAAACAACAAGAACAACCACCAGCACTAGAAGCTGCTGCTGCTGCCACTACTACTACTACTACTACTACTACTACTACTTTAAGGATTGGAGAGTTTCTTGTGCCTCCCTCCCCTCTTAATGAAGACAAAACACAGTCATAAACTATGCAAATGACACTGTCTCCTCTATTGCTCCTGCCTTGCATAATTAGTGTATCTCATTAGCGCTTCTGACAGGGCAGGAGAGGCCAGGCTATTACCGCAAGTGTGTCAGGAGTATTTCAAACTGGAGGTGCACCCGAGGGCACTGCCAGAGCAAGGAATGAGCAAGGATGTGCACCTACATTGGCAGGAAATCCAAGTAAATCCCCCCATGACATCAGCTTTGGCAGCACTGGGTTGTTGTAGGTTTTTTCGGGGTATATGGCCATGTTCTAGAGGCATTCTCTCCTGACATTTCGCCTGCATCTATGGCAAGCATCCTCAGAGGTAGTGAGGTCTGTTGGAACTAGGCAAAAGGGTTTATATATCTGTGGAATGACCAGGGTGAGACAAAGGACTCTTGTCTGCTGAAGCTAGGTGTGAATGTTTCAACTGACCACCTTGATTAGGATATAATGACCTGGCATTGCCTAGAGCAAACTTTTGTTGAGAGGTGATTAGATGTCCTTGTTTGTTTCCTCTCTGTTGTTGTGCTGTAGAACAAGGACATCTAATCACCTCTCAACAAAAGTTTGCTCTATGCACTGTCAGGCCATTATATGCTAATCAAGGTGGTCAGTTGAAACATTCACACCTAGCTCCAGCAGACAAGAGTCCTTTGTCTCACCCTGGTCATTCCACAGATATATAAACCCTTTTTCCTAGTTCCAACAGACCTCACTACCTCTGAGGATGCTTGCCATAGATGCAGGCGAAACGTCAGGAAAGAATGCCTCTAGACCATGGCCATATAGCCCGAAAAAACCTACAACAACCCAGTGATTCCGGCCATGAAAGCCTTCGACAATACATTTGGCAGCACTGTTGGGATCCACAGGTATGTGGCCTGGAGGAAGCCCTCCTTTGCTTCACTTGTCTTGTTGAGATACAGGGCCCCCATCTCTGCCCAAAACCCACCAGAGAAGAACTGGGAAAGGTTGATTATGAGGTGCCCTGATCAAAACATCCTTACACCACGCTCTGCTCCCAAGCACCTATTTCCATAGTATGGCTGGAGTAATAGCCCAGCGTCGTGGAGTCACTGGCCCTGCTGGATGTGGCTGGTGGACTCTGTTGGGTTCCATCCCTGGGCTGCACAATCTCTTGTGTCATCAAGTCTCCAGACTGCAATGAGTAGCTAGGCTAGAGATAGGATTAGGCTGAGGGATTCCTCCCTTACTTTCCTATGCATGTTTACCAAAACGGCTTTGTCTTTA